TCTATCAGCGAAAAAGGAGGGAGCCCCATTTATAATATAGTATTTTGCATTAGTTTTACATCTAAAACAATATTTTTAAAAAAGTGTCCAAAACATTTGCTATGAACAAATTAGAAAAATAATTTACTTGTCTCGAAAAGAATTTACCCGACACATATTTGAATTAGTTGGGAATTGAGATAATGATTTTGGATAATTGGTGCATAATAAAACAAAATATTATTAAAAAAAAAATCAGTGATTTGAAAGGAAAAAACAAGAGAGAAATTAGATAATTATTGAGATGTCTTGAAATCCTCATTACCAATTAAAATTTCTCTAAATTATTGGTGTTGTGGCCACTAAATTTATTAATTAAAGAAATTATTAAATAAATGATAAATTAATAAATTATTAGCTCATATTTTAGTTCATCTTTATCAACTAAAAAAATAAATATTAATAGTTCATATTTTATTTTAATAATTATTTATAATTATTTTTATTTTTTATTTGTTAATTTATAGTATTGCATGAATATATGTAAATATATAGGAGAACTTTTGAAACATTATCATTTTGTTATTTTATTGATTTTGCTCGCTTCTTAAGATGTCCCCAAGTTGGAATGAAAAAAATTATTAATTAGTCGAAATGATTAATCTAACAAACATTTACTGTAACAGGTTTGATCCCTAGTATATATACTTCGACAAATAATTAAACGCGATGAGAGGAGACGACTGTTTCAACTGTAAAACACCGTACGAAGAACAACCAACTGAACAAGTTCTTTTAGTTTAAATTGAGATACGATAAAGAGCAACTCTTCGTGTAACCTGCAAGCCAGGTTTTGTGGTTGTTACGGTTGTTCTTTTTTTTTAATTTTATTTGAAAATATGAAGTGCTAGCTGGTTTATGTATGTTCCGCCTACTTAAGAGTTGTTTTGAAGCATGAAAGTAATTTTGTTGATGATTATACGATATCATCATTTTTTTCAAAGATTGAATGATACGAATCTTGAGTCAAAGGTGGCAGATTTATCTCGACGCGGAAGTTATGAATTTCCTATAACTTGAAAACTTGTAATCTAATATTATGGTCTCCACAACTCACGAAATATAAAAGAAAGGAAGAGATGCAAACCACAAAAATTTGTACCAAAAAGGGATGGAAAGGTTTAGAAGATGTAGAAAGTATTTAAGGTTAGCAACCCAATCGGTCACCTCTCTAACAACCCAATCCCTTCGATTTATGGATAGAACGGCTAGCGAAAATGCTCCAATGAACAACTAACAAAGCTCCATAAGTAGAAAAACACTTATTCTACTCGCATGCATCAACAAAGCACAAGCTTGTGTGCAATGTACTAATCTTCGAAAAGAATAGAAAAAGAACAAAGAGTTTCCTCTCGTCTCATATTGAAATATCAAATTCATCAAAGGTACAAATGAAATGCTGGCCAAGCACCCCTATTTATAGTAGAGGGAGCCGGAAATTCTCCTACTAATTAGGGGAAGAGTTTGATCTTTAACTCTATTCCTACTTTAAAAAACTAGAAATCAACTTAACCTCTAATTGACCACTTGTGCTATTAAGGCAATGTATCTAAACACCTTTATAGACTTAAAAAGCATTAGTCTAATGAAAATAAAACTCCAAATATAAAGAGACATTCTCTCAAAAGAATCTTATTCTTATATTGAAAGAATCTTCCCGAGTTGTCAACTCTATCAATATTTTCTTTGTAGAGTAATCATAGCCATCCAATCTTGATCTAATCTCCATCCAACGGTTGAGAGTAGACACCAAGGAATAGACTTCTTATTTTGAATAAACTCTAAATTAGATAAAAAGAGAAGCATATCAAATCTTATTCTTCCATGTGATAAGATTTAAATGATCTTATCTCTAAAAGATAGGGAATCTTTCAAATCTTATCCTTCCACAAGTGTGATAAGATTTAAATGATTTTATTCTTAAAAGATAGAGATTCAAACTCTTAAAAATTAGGAGATAGGGCCGGCCTCCTTTGCTTGGTTTGTGGGCCGAAATTTCCTCGTTCAAATGGGCCTTGTAATACATTAATAATCTTGGGCTTGTAATTTCCATACTTGACATTCTTTTGGGCTAAACCATTTGATATAAGATTATGAAGTGCACTCTTCATCCTTTTAATTCTAACTCGAGTCATTGAGCCTCCAATGTTGGATAATGGATCTTGAACCACTTCTTGAGCTTAGACCGTACTTGGAACCCGAACACCTTAATCATATTGGACTTGATTACCATGGATGTTCACATCATTCAACTATTAATAAGTTGAAAATAGTACAGCAAGAGCCATGACGTAGTACGAATTATATTGGCTGGGGAAATGTTTGGTTGTATTTATATTTATATCTAAGAAGTAAGAACCATAAGTTATTTGTGATTCACCACCCCCTCTCCTTTTTTTTTGATTTTTTTGCCCAGTCTAATTCTCTCAAGAAGTTTAGGCCATCAATCAATCAGAATCCACATATTAAGCAAAAATGCAATGATTATGAATGTCAGCATAAACATCCCGTCATAGCCTCCATCAAGCTACCTATATATATAATATAAGAATGTAATGTATTGTGCCGTGTTTCTTGCAAAATTTAATGTGTCCAATTAGCTATGGTTCTGGCCTTTTCGATCGATATAGATCACACATGACCAGATAAGTAAAGTAACCTCCATTTCCAAAATATCGACCCACTTTTTTTTCTATTTATCTATCCAATTAATGTCTCTGACCATTTTCTTATGTGAATCACAAAACAAGACTTCGATTTGTGAAACACCTATTAAGTATTGACAATAGAACGAGCTCTCTTTTCTGATTGTAAAGCATATGGTTTTTTTTTTTTTAAAGAGACTGTAAAGCATATGTGATTATTAGTACTCCCTCCAAAGCTTAATATGATGCAATTTGATTTGTCATAAGTTTCACTTAATACGTATTTTTAATTGTCAAAAAACCTTAAAAATATTTTTTTTGCATTCGTTGTGTTCTCTTGATTGTTATGAAATATTTTTAAAGTTTTTTCGTCAACTAAAAATACATACTAAATGAAACCTATGACAAGATCAAATTTACTTATTTTAAGAATAGGAGGGAGTAGAATATAGTGACATTAACATTATTTTTTTTCTGCTTTTGATGCCAAAGAAATTAAAATGAAGATTAGCCAGAGAATAGAATAGGGTAGGACTCACACGTGAGTTGGGGGTGGAGGCGACGAACATCGTAAACTGAAATGTGGAAAAGATCTTTCTATTTGACGACTTGATTAGAGAAGTCAGTTAAACAGGCAATTCCTCCTCCCTTTTCGCCTTTTTCTCCAATCTCCACTCAAGTTTTGAGACGTGTCGCGTCTTTTCTATTTGCTTGTTTAATTTTTTGGGTAATACATGAGGAATTATGAAAGCATTTGATCTTCGTACACAGCGTCCTAACTTTATTTTCATTATCCAAAAAGCAAAAAATTTTGTTTTGGTTTGAAGATAAGAAATGTGGAGTTTGAAAAAATAATAAGAACCATGACGAAGTTGTAAAGAATGACCACAATTGTCATTTCGGCTAACAGACATCTAACTCTAGTTATTAAATTCGTCCGTAAGCTAGGCCACCACTTTCCCACGAATCAAATGATTTGTAAACTTGTTCATCTTGATTCCTCCTCTTCTTTTTTTGACATTAAAATAGTGAAACATGATCTATAGTTGGAGAGGAACGTGCAAAATTATTGCAAAAACGAAGCTGGAAATTCGATTCAAAAACAGGTAGAAAATGGCGATCCAAATGAAATAAGTTTGAAATGGAAATTTTGTATGGAAAATGAAGTTGCATGTAGTACGGACCCCGGGGGGTTATGATTATGTTGGCATTGGGAGATAGCGAAAATGCTGGTGTGGATAGCTAGTTACTGCTGCCGACCTCGCCCCCCGAAATTAATATGATGTCACTCTCTCTCTCTCTCTCTAGATGTAATCATTATATAGGAATGTTGGGCCCTCTTTTTAGACCACCCGGGAAAATTTCACTGCCCAATTTCGCCTTATTATTTTCTTATACTCATTGAAATCTCACTCAAAATATTTCTTTTTTTGGGGGTTGGCTGGGATCGATTTTTTTTCTTTTTGGTTGTTAATGCACATCGTGCCATTATTGAAATCTCACATTCGTCATTTTCTGTTGTGTGAATAACTTGATTGATACTCCTTCACACAATCGTTTCATAAAATCAATTGATACCTGGGTTATATCATGGGAGATAAATTCGGAGTGGAAGAAAATATGTTTAACTTCCTTTGAACAATGGGTGGGCTTGCTTGACATTTTCTCATGGGCTGGACTCCATCTATTTTGTTAGCAACAAATGGTCTCTCTTTTACAAACAGAATGAGGCATATAGCATCTCAGAAGGACCAATTAACCCTTCCGAAATAAAGGATTTGGTCTACGTTGCCAAAAAAAAAAAAAAAAAGGATTTGGTCTCCCCCATTTAAAAGGTGAGTAGTTAACTTCTTATAATTACAGTATAGATTCAATCAGTTTGTAAATTATAGTAGCAAATTCATTGCTTATTCACAGAGAAATACAGTTTGTAAAAATAATGATTAGTTGTTAATCCCACTCTTAGCATAGTAAATAAATCATTTGGGGCCAATTAATATTTCTCCAGAATAATTTGTAGCAATGGATTTTTTCATTTTTCCATCTCCCAGTCGCTGCTGAGGTGGAAATTGGACTTTACCGTAAAAGCAATGGCTTGGCTTATGGAGGAACAAATAAAAATAAAATAATCCCGGGATGGAATTTGGGGTATTCATTTATTCAGCTTCCAAAAATTCCCAATTAAAGTAACTGGGTAGTTGAGGCCTATCGTGGGCCCTCACAACCATTTTATTTTTCAATTTTTTTTTTTGGTGAATTTGTAATTAAGCCCCCCTCAACCAATAAGATTAGGAGGCGTCTTGTGTGTGTTGGGGGGGGGCTTACTTCCTATAAATAAAAGGGTGCTGCAAATTACCATTTCATCATATTAACGACTCCGACTCTCTCTCATTTTTGTTCTCATTCTCGGAATCCCCCTCAAAGTTATTTTCAGCAAAAACTACTTTTTGTTGTTGTTTCTTCAGAAAGTGAACAAAAAAGAAAAGCTGTAATGGAGGAAGTGAAAACATCAAAGTTCAACAGGATTTGTGTGTACTGCGGAAGCGCATCCGGGAATAAACCCAGCTATCAAGAAGCTGCTATCGAGTTGGGCAAGGAACTGGTAATGGTCTTTTTCTTTTTTTATTTTTTTCCAAAAAAAAAAAAGAAAAACATATCATGCATCCCAGCATCATCCTGATCCCCAGTTCTTTTTTTCTTTTGTGTTCTTTGTATCTGAGATCATCTTCATAAAGGGTTGATCGAAACCTTTCTGAACTTTTGTTTGACGAAGCATAAAACCATTTTCTTTGTTAGTTGCTTTTTTCTTCTCTTGTGCATAAAAATGTCTCATCCTTGAGAAACACCCCCCTCTTTTTAATTATTTTTAGCGTTTTGCATGATTTCCTTGTTAGTCATGGTTTTCTTTTTCCCTCTATGTACTTGAGTCTGTGGCATAGATGATCCATGTTAATGTGTGTTCATTTCTGCTTATTTTCTGAGGGAAGAAAGAATGAAATGAAGGTGGGTAGGGAGGTTTAGGGTTTAGGTTCTGTTTGGCATGAGAGAGAGGTTGAAGACTGATAGCTGTAACTTGGGTGTCAGTTGAGCAGCCTTCTTGCATGATCTTCTGGGTAAAAATATTTGAATGATTTTTTAGTTTAAAGAAAATATATTGATTTCTATGCCTTTTACTTAGGGAGCCAAACGTGCCCTTTTGGTATGATTACTATGCTTCAAGCGTGTTGTTGTTGTTGTTTGTTCTTGGGCTACTCCACCACTAACAATTCATCCCATCATTTTAGTTTATGGGAATATATGCACTAGAATAATCATATTTAATATTTTTTCCTTCCGGCCATGTAAATTTGTATTGTAGACATTCATATAAATTACTCTGGTCTATTCATGCGCATCATATTAGTAGCCTGCCTAGTGGGGCTTTCCTTTGTTTTTTTTTTAATCTTTTTTGGCTGCCTGGTATTATCTTAGGCTTTCTTGTTGCCATGATTTGAAGTTAGCTGAAGAACACACAAGTTTTTTTGAGTCCCAACCAAAAATATTTTAAAGTGAACATTACATCTTTTTTTTCCAACAATATGAATATGATCAAATTTGGGCGTGCTTTGATCTGTGTTTTCGACACGTGTTTGACAAGTTTTTTGTACTTTCGATGTGAAGGTGGAGAGAAGGATTGATTTGGTGTATGGAGGTGGAAGCGTGGGTCTGATGGGTCTTGTTTCTCAGGCAGTTCATGATGGTGGGCGCCATGTCCTAGGGTATACCTTCTCTTCACTCCCTTCTCTCTTCTCTCTCTTCTTCCCTAGAAATTTCTTTTTAATAAAATTTAAATCTCAAGTAAAAAAAAGATGGGGGGTTTTGGAATATAATCATCATTTACAGCCCTCATAATTCTTGTCTTTCTTTGGTTCTGTGTGATGAGTACTTTTTAATGCTCGGTTTCCGTCTTAAAACCACGCAAGTGTCTCAGTTCTCTAGGTAATGAATAATGTTGCCACCCAAAGGCAGACCTCATGGGATCAAACAAGATTATTAAAACTGTCTCTCTGTTACAAAAAAGGGTAAATTTTTTTTGGGTAGGCCACTATTTTTTCTTTTGTTTTTTTTTCTTTCCTTGAGGAATGAAATGGTTTCTAGACAAACAGTTGAAAATTGAAACATACTCTTGTACTGTACTGTTGCATCTGCAATCTGTTGTCTATTGAGAGTTTCAACAGTTCCGTAAAAGGAACGTTAAATAAAAAAAGCCTTTTGGGGGGCAGTCATGTGATCAGGGATGTGAAGTGATCCCATATTCTGAACTGTTGCACTGTCTGTCAGCCCACTGGTAAAAAGATGTCTGAATGGCCTTTTTCTACACTGTTCCAAGCATTTCCTAATTTGATGATAAAACTCAGAAGGAAGGGGCAACTTCACATGAACAGTCTTATTCAGACTTGGGGTCTATCACATAGGAGGTGTCTGTTGCCTATTGGCTTAGCCACATTGTCCACCTTCTCTGTTCAACATCCAAAGATGGCTGACTAATACGTGTTATCCAATCGGTGAAAAAAAAAGTGATGAAAGTTTGACTAGGTATCTTAACTGTGCTTCTTCTTACTTTTGCAGGATCATCCCAAGAACCCTCATGCCAATTGAGGTTTGATTTGAAACCATATTCTGAATTTGATTCTTTAATTTCTGTGGAGCTTTACTTTTGAATATGCTGTTAGTAAATGAATCACTCTCCTCTTTATTTAGTTAACCGGTGGCTCGGTTGGAGAAGTCAGAGCTGTGGCTAATATGCATCAGAGGAAAGCTGAAATGGCCCGTCTAGCGGATGCTTTCATTGCTCTTCCTGGTAAAAAGTTTCCATCCAATTTGTGTTTTCTTTCTATTGTTAATAATTCAAGTATTAGTTATGTTTTCTGGTGAATGGACATTTGAAATTTTCTATAATTATAATTAGGGGGATATGGCACACTTGAAGAGCTGCTTGAGATCATCACATGGGCTCAGCTTGGTATCCACCGCAAACCTGTAAGCAATTTGCCCAGTTGCCTTTATTGTTTGGTTTTACATAGTTTCATTCAGACCAGGTTATTCTAATGATCTTATGGCATATTTGAAATTCGAGTCAAAGTACAAAATTTATTCATGTAAGGTGCTTTTCTATGTATGCTTTAACCTGTTGAACTTTGTTTCTGGTGGTGAATATAACTGGCCATATGATCTGATCTGAATAACCAATGTGATTCAATGTGAAAATGTTAACATCGGGTAGTCTTGTGGAAAACATTCTGACAACAGTGCCCGAAAGCAATTGCTTTAATTTGTGACAAACATTCTTGCCGAATCATAAAGGAGGTTAATCTTTCAAACGTTAAAAAGTGGACATTTGTATACTTTTTTGAAATCAACATTCCTCTTTCAAACTAAGCTTGGGGGGTTTTGAAACTTGAATGTGACCCCCAGCATCTCAGTCTACCAAAAGAGAATGATGAAATTCACAACTTGACATGGTTGTGTGATTTGTACCACGTCATTCTCATTATCTTTTTGGGGATCCCTATCCTTGTGGAGCTATACTTTAAAAAGCATTGCTTGCTGGGATTTTGGTCAATGATTCCTATTCTTTATTAAGCTTATTGCAACAAGAAAGGAATCAAAATGCATGTGGTTCTTGTTCATTACTAGCAAAGAAAATTGGAAAAAGCACAAGTTTATTAGACTAACCGTCTCAATGATATGATTGCTTCGGGCAGTTTTCATACTTAACTCCTTGTTTAAATAACTGCTGGTCAACAACAAGTATTCTACTACTTGGCTTTCGTGCGAAATACGTAATTAATTCATATCTCCCTAATGACGAACCTAATCCAGTTGAGTTGGTGAATAAACAATGCAGGTGGGGCTTCTGAATGTGGATGGTTTCTATAACTCCTTGTTGTCTTTCATTGACAAGGCCGTTGATGAAGGCTTTATATCTCCAATTGCTCGTAGAATCATCGTGTCCGCTCCGACAGCCAAAGAGTTGGTCAGAGAACTTGAGGTATTAACATAATTAATTATCAATGTCAGATTTCTCCAATTTGTTGTTTCTTCCTTTTTAAAGTATCATCTTTCTTGATGAAGTTGTGAATAAACTAAGTTCATGCGTCTTGAATTAGTTTCTAATTAAAAGTTGGTAGATTAGGAGGCTACCTACGTCAATCATTTAACGTGCAAACAAGGTAGCAGCAGTATTAGGCTTTTGGATAATGACATATGAAAAGATGGCCCACTTAAGAAAAAATGGGGAAGAAAGTGATAACATATGTCATCGATGGTTACTTCTATGACTTGGTAACTTCAGACAATGGTGGTCTTAGGGAAAAAGTGATAGCTCGCTTTCTTTCTTTGTTCCTTTTGATGTCTGCTGACCAGATGGATAGTATGAAGTACATGGATACAGATTTTGACCTCGGACCATCGATCCAAACTTGCTTGATCTATAAATTAATTTTATCAGATTTTGTGATTAGTCTTAATGAAATCTGCAGGAACATGTACCAGAATATAAAGCAAAACTATCAGAAATGAGCTGGGAAGACGTTGAAAGACTCAACAATAACTACGTGCCAGAATCTGAAGTTTCTATTTAATGGTGGCGTGCAATGAGGATCAGAAAGCCTATGGAATTGAAGACTCCGTGTAGTAGTCTTTTTTGGGGTTTAGGCTAGCTTTTGGGTAATTTTGGGGGTATATATCAATTATTAGGCCATATGAAAAACAAAAAAAAAACTTTAATGGTCGTGCTTTTGCTGGGGTTGGGTGGTACAGAAAGAAAACATTCTGTTATTTGGGGGAGCGCATTTGTGCGTTTTCTCGTACAATGATGAATTATGATCAAGACGCTTAAAAATGTTTTATATACTGTAGTAACAGTACCTCCTTAGGTACCTTTTATCTAACTTTCTTTTGTCGAACCAGCCTATATTAATGCTTACGGTATGTAGTTCTAAATTAAGCCCAACATATGGTTTCTTATTCTTGAAAAATGAATCACTTTTCTTTTACAACCTGAGTATGTTTTTAGGGCAGCGCGAGTATATATAATGCTTCGTGCTATACAGGAAAGGGAGAAATGCAGCCTAATGTTGGTGAAATGAGGAGATTTAAAATTTCCAAATTAAATCATTCAACCAGTTGCACTACCGTAATTTTCATGGAATTTTGTTCTGTTTGGCGATTTCATTTGATTTTGTTGTTTTTATCTGTAAAAAAAGTAGAGGTCATTGTCATCTGCAAAGAAGCATTTGGAAATTTGGAAGACCGTGACACTTTATCAAGAACTAATTGACAAGCTAACAACTACCATCCAAATTGGATGGACAAAGATTAACATAAGATAAAACAAAATTCCTAAGACCCTTGTGAAATATGGTGTTAAAGCTAGTCATATGTGCAATAATCTGGAATCCCTAACAACTTCCCAAATGGCTGGGAAAACAACGAAGCACTTTTGTTTTCTAAATTAAATGGATAGAATTCAAGTGGGACAGGCAAGTGTACTCTTGAAAAATTGACATCTCTGATGTTCAAAAAGGAGTAAAAAGCCAACTAACCGAATTATTGAAGGAATGTGTCTATCTATGCTTTATGATGCAGTTGTTTGTTGTCATTGATCCATGATGCTAGCTACGGAGAATAATGTTAACATCATACAAGTGTTACTAAAATATTTGCACTCCAACTTGCTAGGAGGTACTCCTATATTGTTTTGTTTGAAGTTTGGACAATCGTAATCAAAATAACTCTATCATTGTATAGGCCAAATGCCCAATCAGGAAACATCTATTTACCAATACTATTCCCACTGTAATCAATCTCTATTGTTTTACATGATTAAAGACTTTACTTTTTGGTTTAAGTAAAACTCTACCAAGGTGCAGTTGCCGTTTTATGGAGTGCGAGCTCATGCCTTTCATTTTGAACCTCCAGATTCTGGATTTCTTCATCAATATTCTAAGCAACACCCTTTACATTTACAAGCTTGGTTTCAAGATCCCTCATATCTGTTTCAAGCCGAGCTCTTTCGCTCTTCTTTGATAGGATCATCTCTTGCTGTTCTTCAGAATGAAATGAGAGAAGCTTCTTTATCCGTTTGCGCAAGAATCTAACTGTCATTCCCCAATCCTCAAATGACTTGGCAACTTTGTCCCAAGCTTGGAGACGGCAATCCAAGTCCGCGGTAACCTTGGCTGCTCTAATGGCATCTGAAATGTTAACGATTTCAATAATGGCACCAGCTACCAGCTTGCAGTTTACGTCCTCCAAGAGACTAGAATGAAGATATGCATTCTGGCTGGAACACAACTCGTAATATTTGGCTCGTAGATGAGTAGGTATCTCTGAGTCGATAACCACGCCATTCGCAACAATATTGAAATTCTTGAAACTCCTTACGTCACGAAATTCAATGATCGTTTCTGCCAACCTGATGCTATCAGGCACTTCACTGCTTAAGTCCTCACTACCGAATTGAGCTGATTGACAAGATGATGATGATGCACCCCCCATCGTTGCCTTTTGCTGAAATATAATAATCTTGACGAGGGATCGTCACATGAGGAGGTCGCATGTAGTCCTCCATCTTAGCATTTTCCACATTTTCAGGTTCCTCTTTGATTATAGCTGTTTCTGACCAAAGGAAAGTGAGTTGGAGAAGTAAGATAGTACTAGTAAACATATAGCTGATGAGGATCTCAACACAGAGAAAGAGTTTGGCTTTTATACCAGTAGAAACAGTTGATTTAGCTTGAAGCTCTGAATTTGGAACAACAATTGCCTTATCAATTTCTGCAGAGCCAATCCCCCGCCGTATGATGTACACCTATGAACAGAGCCAAGAATACCTGAAAGAAAACTTGATATACATTTGTTCTCAGGCCAAGTTGATGTATATATTTGAACGCAACAATCAAGCATAAATGATACTTTTCTTTGAGCAAAGTTTGCTAGTAGGACAGGTTACCTGAAGTTTACAAGGCTCAATCAGTTGGAAAACTGAAACATCGTCCTCAAGCAACTCGTGATCGACGGCAAAACCTCTCCAGCCTCCACTCAGTCCATTCTTTGGCCACAGATACTTCGTTCTGTGTTTTTCCCCCTCTTCATCTACCAAAAACACATGGGCGTCATTCTTGGGAAGATATTTTACACAAAATTTCTTTTTCCAACCCCTGATTATGTGAGTTACAAACAAGTTAGAACTGAACCTCAATGGCAGCTCAACAAAAAAAAAAAAAAAAAAAGCACCCTAAAATGATCATTATCTTACCAGCCAAAATCCACGACTAACATGTGACGGTTTCATGAGCTTCACAAAGCTTGGAGTATCAGAGGGTAGCCTTGCTTTAAGTTTATTTACTATGTGGCCTGCAGAATCACTTTTTCGACAAACTTTTCTCATATAGCTGATAATAAAGATTTAACCCAGAAAAAAAAAATGAGAAACATTTTAAGCAATTGTACTAAAATTCCAAAACTTCAAAGAGGCAAGTTCAACTCTTTCTTTTATAAGTAATTGTTTTAAGCACTGAACAGTACTGACCATTTGATAGGCTTCTTAATACAGTCCCTTTTTCCCTGTGTTCAACAAAAACCCTTCAGCTCTTGTACATAAATGATGAGTTTCTTGGGGGAAGCCAATACAACAGATAAAACAAAACCAACAGAGAGCAACAATGGATTGATTATCCAAACAACAGCCAAAAAAGTGTAAAAGGGTAAAGTTTCATACTTCCTTGGAGGGATGATATTGAGAACCAGTGGGATTCCTCTGAGATTGTGACTTCTTTAACACCAAGGCCTTCCTCTGTTTAGAAAGAGACGATGTTAATTTGGTCGATATATCGATCGATATAAACAAAAACAAGAGAAAAACAGCCCCAAAAAAATATTACAGAACGTCAAGAGTACCTTAAAGGATGCATGACTCGGCGCTGGTTTAATAGATTCTTTGGAAGAAGGCAACTGAGAAATGGCCATTTGCAATGGATTCTAAAGAAGAAGAAACTCTGGAATAGTATTTTCCTTGGAGCGGGATGATTTCAGATTTATAGCTCAATCAAAAGGATGTTGTGGAAAGAAAACTCTTACCGTTTGATTTTAGTTGAAAGTTGCAGAGATGTAGGGATTTTAGAGTTATGTGGGATGGTGGATATGACACGACTATCCATCAGTGCATACATTCTGGAGAAGATAACGCTGAAATGGAGCCAAATTTGAAAATCTGTTTTTTGGGATTTTTTTTTTTTTTTCCCTCCGTAGAAAATGCATAATCAAAGGTGTAAATTGATTTCTTTCCTTCTTCCCAAAATATGACCGTTTATGTTGCCCCATCGATTAGTATCTTTCAGAAATCTTCCCGTTTTGCCTAACTTCACTTCTCTTCGATTTTAGTTAAGATCAATGAACTAACACCAGGCATGGCTGTCGGAAGGAAGATGTTTCAAAGTCGAACAATTTAGAATCTTTACATCATTGTTATCATCCATTACAACCATTACAATCTTGGAATAAAGCTTCTGCACAGTCTTCTTCAGTAGTACTAACATAACACTTCAGCTGTAACTGTACCTCTCCAGAAATCGCATGTATGCAACAACAAAAGGAACTAGAAGAACCAAACAACAGCCTTTACATAGTTAAGGATCGCTAACTGGTATAATGAACCACAATAATCTATATATATATATATGTGTATATTAAAGGAATTGCGTGCATATGAGCTCCCTGAACCTGAAGTACTCAGTTTGCCAAGTGCGGGATTGTATACCTTGTAAATTGAGATTGCTGTCAGGCCCTTGACATGGAAGGATTAAAGTTGATCAAATTGGCTTGTCAACAGAAGTGCAGAGACCAGAAAATCATTTACTTCATAATGGAATTTTCAGGGATTGTAACTTTATTCCAAGAAAAAAGCTCACAATCTCACAAAAAAAGTATGACTTTCAAACATGTTACAGCACAATGCAAAACTCTCTACAGCCTCTCTCTCTAAATGACAAACAGACATGCCTTTCTTTTTTAGGGTCTAAATAAATTTATATAGCAGCGAAGTACTCTTTGCTGAGCTTAGGATCTGGCTTCATGGACTTCTCACCAGGCTTCCATCCAGCAGGGCACACTTCATCTGGGTTCTCCTGCACGTATTGCAACGCCTGTAACAAAAACCGAGATAAAGGTAAGTACTGAGTACAGAAAAGAACCACCAATATTGCAACCGAATAGCGGCAAATTTTGGTTGAGTATTGAGTACAAAAAAACAAAAAAAAACAAACAGCCTCTGCTGCACACATCAGATTTAATGGAACAGAAATTACCTGGAGTGTCCTCAATGTTTCATCTACGCTCCTACCAATTGCAAGATTGTTAATGGTTGAGTGCTGGATAACTCCTTCCTTATCAATTATAAAAAGCCCTCTCAGTGCGACTCCCTGCATCAGAACACCAATATTATTAACATCATCACACTAAATAAGAAGCCACTTCGCCGGGATAACAGATATATACAAGGTATCACATAAACTACACCAAAAGGTACAACAAAACTTTTACATTAGTAATAACAGAAGGAAAATTCTTCAAACCCATAGTAAAAGAACAAAATCAGCAGATAGTACATACCTGATCATGAATTAACACATTGTATGCTTTGGAAATTGACTTGGTGACATCAGAAACTAAAGGATAGTTCAAGTCACCTAAACCACCGGACTTTCTATCTGTCTGCACCCATGCCAGATGGGAGAACTACAGCAGCAACAAAACAAACTCATTAGACAACACAAGAAAATTTTCAATATTATCAGGTGCAATGGAAATACAGCAACCCAAGATTAGACCGTCACTATATTCAAACTTCACAGAAAGCCCACATAATGCAACAACTAACTTTATCCCACTACGGGGAGGCAGCTAAATAATCACTTAAATACTATAAATACTAATTCCAAATAATGCAACAAACAAAAACATGGCATGATAAAATTTTGGAGCCAGTAAACAATCAAATTTTACAATGATATAGCATCTTATAAATATATCACACAAAGAGAAATCAAAAGTCCAAAACATATATGTCCTGTGATGGTGTCAGAGCAAGTCTGGTAGACATGCCAAAACACTGACAAGGGGCAGGCCCAAGTCAAGCATTACTCAAAACAAACAAAAAAAAAAGGCCAAATCAGCCACGCCTGACTAGAAAGAATTTAATTCTGAAATAAAATTTTAATATAGCTAAATAAAAATGAAAGCAAGCTTCCCTGAATCGGAACACAAACCAAAACTTGAAAATATAAAACCAAAAAATCATTTAATCAAAGTCTAAGCCGAAGTGGAATATGACGAAGACATACTTTACAAGAGAAAATATGGAAGCAATACTTACCACACTGTCGATTGAAACGCCAAGAATTTCGGTATTTAATTTCTGGAATTCATCATAGCGGTCGCTGAAAGCAGTGATCTCTGCAGAGAGTAAAAAGAGAGAAGGCATACATTTTTAGATACCAAGTTTATCATACACCAATTAACAGAAAAAAAAAGGGTAAAATTACAGTTCTTCTATCATGCTCACCAGTAGGACAAACAAATGTGAAGTCCAGAGGATAGAAAAACAGAATTACATATTTCTTTCCAATGTACTCAGACAGTTTCACCTGGAAAAGAAATCCGTGAAAGATGAATGAGCCCGACGAATAAGAGCAGCGAATGTAAATCCAATGCTTGTATCCATTTATTCGCAGTAAATAAAATAAGGACATAAGGCCGGTTGTCATATTTTACTTCAAGTAAGTAAATGCGAGTCGAAGAAACAAGCATTTTGGAAAACCCAGGTCCACAGGCAAGAAAATTACTGTTGAGGATACTAAACAAATCATTACCTTGATGAATTCCTGATCGAAGACAGCCTCGGCTTCAAAGTCTGGAGCTACATTCCCAACCAGTGGAAGGTCGTCGCCCTATCAGAAGAACATCCATATGAGTGTGAGAAACACAGTCCAAAAATTTAGGTGAGTAGTTGAAGTGATAGTGGAGAAATTGAGGTGCATTCATATCAATTAGCTAGAAATCCATTCAAATGAAAAGTATCAAACACTTCAATCGGCTAGAAATTCATTCAAATGAAAAGTATATCGTATAATTCAATGTTGCTAAAGTGCAATAAGAACAATTAACCAACTGATGAACAAAGGAGCACATATAGCAAAATGAACTCTTCCCTTTCGGCAAAAATCTTATTTCCATCGTTTCACAACTTAATTCGTTGAAATTAAACCGAAAACATCCAACCCACAAAATAAAGTCTGAGTCTTTTCAATTAAACAGAAGAAAACATTAGAAAAAAAAGTGGCGAAAGTGGACAAGAAAACCAAAAAACTAGGAGTAACTTACAGCTCGGACAACTAAACTGCGGCGTTTAGGGGCAGCAGAACGGGAGGAGAGAGAGCGAGGGACAAGGGATAAGGAAGAGGATTGAGGGAGGCCATTGAAAGAAGAAGGGAGGGATAGGGTTTGAGGGAAAACGGAAGATTTGGGGGAAATGGAAGCCCTAGTAAGGGAAGATGAGGGTGAGAGCAATGCTGTCGAAGCTGCAGAGCAGGAGGCCATTGGAGTTGCAGGAGAAGAATCTAGATAAAAAGCTTACGAGGAGGAGGATTACAATTTACAGTCCCACTACGATTCTTCTAGCGAGTGAGTCGAAGTAGTAGGAGGGACTGGTGTTTTGAAACGAAAGGTTGGACTTTGGGGAGACTTTGTTTGTTAATAAGAGACGATATCTGGTTGGTGAATGGTGAGAGATTGAGGCAGAGAAAGGTGTGAAGGTAATGAACGGATAAACCAAAATGGGTGTGGTTGCTGGCCTCCTCTGGATTCCCATTGGGGGCATCCGTCTCTCTACATGTTTTTTTTTCTTACTTTTTTTTCATTTTCATTTTTTACAATTAAAGCATTGTGTCGTTTTCCATTTAGGACAAACTCATGAATCTCTATGCATGTATAGTTGTGTACATTTGATAGAAAGAATACAATTTTTTTATCTCATTTTCCTTCTTCTCTAAACATGAATCCGTTTTGAAGCGGAAAATTTCATCTGGTATGTTCATATCATTAATTAAAGAGAAACATTTTAACTTTTATTTTTCAATAAAAGGAGCCTGAATCACAGCTTCTGTAATCTCTAAAACTTGTTTAGATATGGATTAGCTTTTGATCCGAACATTATGAGGATCTCTAAGTCAACACCATGTTTGGCAGTGTTGTCAGGCTCGAACCGGAGCTTGACTCGGGATGGTCAAGGGGTCGAGAATCGGGGGTCGACTCGGGGCAATTCGGAAGATCTATTCGGATGATGTCATAATGATGCAATAAATACTAATTAATTAATTATAATATTTTAATTAAAATTTTATTTTTATATATATTTTTCAATTATTGGAGACAAATTAATACTTCATAGTTTACAAATGGGTCGCTATATAATCAAATTGAACTCATGAGGTCGCATATGATGATGTCATTATTACTAACTATATATAGTATTTAGTTTTTTAATATATTTAAAATTAAAAAGATTTTAAATTTTATATCTCTCTTCGATTATATTAGTTGATATTGATATTTTTCAGTAGTTAATTGTTACTCACGTGAAGTAAATTAGTATAGTAATAAAGTAATTAAGATAAATACATTATCATTTAGAAAAAAATGTTGAATTTGAAGGACAACTAATATACACATTAAGAAAAACTACTCCAAGATTATTTTTTTTGTGATATATTAGAGTAATAATATAAATTTTTCATCAAATGAGGGAAGTAAATTTCTGTAGCAAAATTAAAAAAAGTTTATTCAAAATATTATATTTGAAAATTGAAATTGAATATGGGGACTAAATATTAAATTAAAACTTTCAAAAGTACAAAAAATTGAAAGTTGTTGAGCAATTTTCCAGAAAAGAGAAAAAAGTTAGCCCGGAAGAGGAAGACATTGGAAGTTGAAATCCATAAAAAAATGTGCAATTTTTTTTGTCAAAAGGTCAAAAAAACTTAAATCCCGGTTCGATCCGAATTTTAAGCGATCTTCTTTTTAGCGATTTTAAACCTTGCTCGGCTCGGTTTAAGAGTCGGTTCCCGATTTAACCGGTCGACCGGTCGGTCCGAACCGAGCATGACAACGCTAATGTTTGGACGATCCATTTTTCATAATAGCCTGCATTTGTGCTCCAAAATGTTCTTTTTCACCCATATTCATCTCAAACTTCATTTGAGTTTTGCTAATGAAATGGTTTATTTTATTTTTTACTACTTTTTATTTTTTTTGCATATTATTATAGTGTTTATTGTCGATAATAAGTTAAAAATAACTAATTCTTCTGCGGATGGTACCAATATAGGTGAGTGAGATAAGTGGCCAAAAAATTTATGAATTGCGAAGTAGGAAAATGCATAATCCCCAAATACCAATGTAATTAGGCAGTCAAATCAATAGTAATTCAGCTTGTGACTTGTGAGATCAAAATGTAAAGTCAAGAAGCCAGTGTGAGAAAGCAAGTTCCGTTGGGCTGTACTAATTTGGCCAATTGTAAATTTCTAGCCCATCTTGTAAAACCAGAAAAGCCCAATGGGCTGTCCTAAATAGCCCCAACATACAGTCACCAATTATCCGGAAGGAACTTACCAGATTGGATACTGAGATAGAGCCATATCTCCCTTTCCGCTTATGACCTTATCCTCACCACAAGCTTCCCCGCACAAATCCAAATTAACTTTTGCAGTCAGTCACCCGCCACATTCCGACCATGTAATTGGCGGTGGTACCAAAATGCAAGAAACTCTCCATCTCGCCTCCTCCTCCACCACCACCTCCGCCTCCCCATTTCACGCCACCAAATACGCCTCCCTCTCCCGCCCTAAACACTCCCGCTACCCCACTCAACCGCCTCCCTCTCCGCCGTCCCTTATCCTCTCTCCCGTTCCGAAACAACCTTCCACCACCTCCGGAGAAGCCATTTTCGATTCCCCTCCTCGTCCCGGTCCCCAATTTCTCGATGAGAAGCTTGTCTACTTGGATACTCTGGGCCTCGATTATTGTTACTGTCTCGCTGCCCACCCGCCGATTCTCTCCGTCGAGCTGTCCCAAATCAAATCCACCGTCGAGTTCCTCCGCTCGATGGACCTTACTACTCATGATATCCGCCGCGCTATCTCTATGTGCCCGGAAATTTTGGCCACCCCTTTGCGTGACGTCATTCGGCCAGCCGTGACGTTCCTCCTCCGCGAGGCGCAAGTCCGGGGGAGGGATCTCCGCCACGTCATCAACCGCCGGCCGCGTCTGCTTACTCGCAGCGTGGATCGCCAGCTCCGGCCGACCCTTTACTTTCTCCAAGGTACCATCGGCATTGAGGATGTCAGCAGGTGCGCGCCGCTCTTATCTTGCTGTGTGGAAACCAAATTCATTCCTCGTCTGGACTATTTTTTAAAACTCGGGCTTCCTAAAAGGGACGCCATTTCGCTCTTCCGGAGGTTCCCGTCGTTGTTTTGTTACAGTGTGGAGGAGAATTTAGAGCCCAAATTTAATTACTTTCTGGTGGAAATGGGGAGGGAGCTGAGGGAATTGGTTGATTTTCCGCATTATTTTTCTTTTAGCTTAGAGAATAGGATAAAACCCCGGCATAAGATGTGTGTGGATAAAGGAGTGTATTTGTCTCTGCCTGTGATGTTGAAGACCCCGGAATCCCGGTTTCGAAAGAGGTTGGACGTTTGCTGTAATTCTTCAATTCCTTTGAGAAGTTCTCCATTATGGCGTAACAATGTAAATTGTCATTTGACATAGGGAAAAGGATACACCGGTGTATTTCCATTTGTTATTTACCATATGTATGAAATGTAAATGCCATATCTATACTTTTTTGTCCAATATTTGTTGCCATAATTGAATTTGTTTTTAGTTAGGGAACTCTCGATGAAGAGTCAATGGGTGCTGATCTAAGCTCTGTATTGGATTGTGCTTTCAGAGATTTGAACTTTGTTTTTTTTTTTTTCCATATTTGTAAGGGCGATTCCCTCTGGCTCTGCAATAAGTCGTATGTATAAGAAACTTGCTGCTATGAAGATTGATCACAGCTTGATGTTGCAATTTGCATCATTGAGAGTGGAAACATCTGCCCTTTTTACAGCTTAACTTAGGCTTGCACACGCATTGATGGATGATCTTTATGTTTAATAGGTTCTTTGGCTAGATATCTTAGGGGAGTCAGTGCTTCAATAGGCTTTTGTATTCTTGAAGTTGTGTGCTTTTCCAGGTGATTCTTTACGTTGATATGCATCTCTGCATTTACCTGTAGGGCTAGCATGTCTATCGTGTTTCACAGTAAAGTATCTTTTAATTTCCCAGGTTTACTAGTGCGACAGCTCCCATTAGTCTTACTGTGAAGCGTGATTGTGCTAAATAACAGAAATTGGTAATAGAATGAGAATGTTAGGCCTCCTAGCCTCATCATCAATCGTTTTCTATGATCTTTTTTCTGTTCTTTTTTCCCCTTACGTGCTGTGTCCGGTGTCCCTCCCCTTTTTCCCCCCTCCTTTGCAGTCCATCCCTGCTAAACAAATTAACCAGGCAATGAGCTGAGGCACTTACCTGAAATGTCGCATGCTAAAACTATTATTAGTTTGTAAATTTTGTGGATTTGTGAATCATTTCAGTGTTGCTTTGTTACTGTGGTCACGGGGTTTCAAATTTCCCATATTTCTCTCGAAGCGGGGTTCTTTCGGCACCAGATTGATTATGATTACATTATGAATATGTTTGGTACATGGCTAGGTTACATGCACAAATTTGCTGGAAAAAAGTGGTCGTATGTATGAAATTTGGTTTTCTTTTAATGGATTTAGTAGCGTGTCATTTCTGGACATGTATGTAGGACTGTATGTAGCAGTCGGCATGAGTTGGTCTGCTTACACAAGATGTTGAGGTAAATTATTTCCAAAAAAATGTAATCTAAAAAATGTGTGTATAGGAAATTTTAATATCACTAGTACAATAGGTTTTGAATCTTTTGATAGTAATAGAAAACAGTAAAATTTATTGTGATGTGAAATCCAACACACACAAGAGTATGATTGAATCCCGGAAATGTGGTTGTCAATTTTCTTTTATGTAAAGTGTAACCATTACATTAGTAATCAATTTCGAGTATTTTTATACTTTCTCATGTTCCCAATGTCACGTACCAAAAGCTGCAAGTCCCAACTTGTTACTACTACGTTTTACGGATGATGAACAAGAAGTTAGCGATTAATTAGAAAAGTGGGAGGGAAAAAATAAAATTCGGGCAATTACAAGAAACCAATCTATTATAAGATCATACAAAATCCTGATTAACATATCTAAAACGAATATAGCCACATGTTCTCACCGTAACTTGGAAATGCCTTTGGAACCGCATAGATGGGATTAATAGTACGAAGATGCAAACATGTGCGCCCTCTTTGATAATCAATAGTCAAATTAGTTAGCAGAATGCCACCAAATGAATCTTATTGTTAGGTTGTAACAATGTTTTTAATGTCACAATATCGTATAATTTTTTAAGGTTGTGAATTCATACTGATTTAGAAATACATAACAATAGTACTCCTTCTGTCTCAAAATTTTTGTCCAGTTTGAGATTTCACTTCTAGTACGATTTGAACTAGAAATGAAAACTCAAACTGGTCAATAATTATGGGACGGAAGGAGTATTAAATAAGGGGATTAAATTAATAATGAAAAGTGAAAACTAGTCAAACGCGGAGTTGCTTGATGAGGACGAGACTATATCAGTAAAATCGTAATAAGCTCAAATATTAGGAGTGGAAGTGTAATATTCGATGTGGACATTTCTTACAATTCCATAAAGTAATGGGGAAATATTAACAGCTTTTATCAAACTATCAGTAAAGTTTTATAATAAACTTGAATTTTCGGGGAGGAAAATATAATTTTGGAGTCTTTCATTTTTTCCTCATAAGTTCCCTCCACATCTATCCGAACCAAAATTCCCTCCCTTCCCTCGTTTCATTCTCTTTGTCATATATACCCAACCCCCACTTCTCTCCACTTTTTCTTCCTCTTTCTCAATTTTCACGCACTCACGCACTAATTTCTTTACTGCAAAAACTTCTCCTAATCTTCTTTCCTTCCAATTCTTTCTTCATAATCGAATTGCTCACAGCCATTTTACGATCTGGATGAATTTGTGTACTTCCTTCTAGTTGTTGGGACTTTGGAATTAATTAAAAAATTTAATCAAAGAAATAATGGGTCCTACGTCTCAACCTCCGGAGGGGGGAGCGGGGTCGTCGCCGGCCGCGACGGCGAACGGCGGACCTCAGCCGATCAAGCGCCACCTACCTTTCTCATCTATGAGGCCGCCATTCGTACCTACCGACGACTACCACCGGTTCTCCAACCCGGCTGGCGCCGCCACGGAGCTTCGGAATCAGGAAACTGAAGCTATTGTTGTTAAGTCTCCAGTGAGTTCGATTATAAGCTCAAATCTTAACATGGATTAGTTTCTGTTTGTAAAATCCATTTCTTGGGGATTTTATTCAGTGTTTTTCCCTTGATTAAATGCTACAAATATTGATTTTTCAACTGCCGCCGCCCCCATCCTATAAAAAGTAAAAAGGGGATGTTTATGATCTTGTCGGAATCGGATAATTTGATATTCACCCATTTTGGTTTATCTACTCTTGAATTTTCGTTGGTATTGGATTCACCACTTGAATTTCTTGGCGCTGAAGTGCAGAAACTTTCGTGTTTATTCACAGTCCATTTGTGGGATCTGGAGTCTCAACTGCATAGAGTCATTAGAGTTCCTGTACCCTCCTTCATTGCCCTTTTTTAAACAGGAAAACTTCCGTTGGATTAGAGTAAAGATGGATGGGATAAGATTAGGCTCCAATTATGGAATTGGGTAGAGTATGATAATCTTACAAATTTTAAGTAGCTGCTCTCAAGTCTCAACATCTATTGGGAAATTAGTTTCTAAATGAAGGTTGATTGCCGGTAAAATAAAACTTGGAAATATCACTGACTCTGGTAAGATAAGCTGCTTGGTCAATCACTTTATAGTTCTTAGTTGTAAGATGTATGGGGGTTAGAGAGCAAACAATCATAACTCCACTACAATGCTGCCTTTAAAGGAAAACCTCATGGATGTCAGAACGACGAGTTTATCATTTACATATTGAATTCATATTTATCTGTTGTAATAAAGGGCTTCTTGCAGGGAATGAAGCGAAAAACCAGAACTGTACATCCTGAAGTTTCATCTACTGAGTGGGCTGCTAGTCCTGCGAATTCAAATACAGTGGGCAGCCCCATGAGCACTCCTGTGCGTGCAAAAGGAGGAAGGGGATATGGTAGATCGAAGGCGACAAAAGGCAATGTGTCTGAGCCATCAACACCTTTATCCAATGCGGGTTAGTTTTGCTTCCCTGGAATTCTCTTTTGAATCAACTAAGTAGCGAGCCCGATTCTTGAAACTAATTCAAGTTATTTTGATCCTTGAACATTATAATGCTCATGATATTAGCAAAAAGAATTTATCGAAACTTATCTGTGCGCTTGCAGGTTCTCCATCTCCTCTTACCCCTGGGGGCAGCTGCCGTTATGATAACTCTCTGGGTACTTGTTCCTTTTCGTCAACAAACTGGGGGTAATTTTCCAATCATGTCGCTAAAGGGTTCTGATTGATTACTATGGTTGCCTTTCAGGTCTTCTGACAAAGAGATTCCTCAACTTGTTAACTAGTGCTGAGGATGGAAACCTGGATTTGAATAAAGCAGCTGAAACTTTGGGGGTAACTATAGTTTTTTCTACTGTAATGCATCCATCTATAGTCCCATAATCTAACTTGGGGAATGATGACTCAGGTGCAAAAACGAAGGATATATGACATAACAAATGTTCTTGAAGGAATTAATCTTATTGAGAAGAATTTGAAGAACAGAATTCACTGGAAGTAAGTGTATTTTACTTGTACTGCCAAGGTGGAATTGAGGCATTATGGAATATTATCTTTTTCCTGCAATGTGAAGTGAAGCTTCATAACTCACATGGAGGTCCTAAATTGGTTCTTGTAGGGGGCTTGATGTAGCGGTACAAGATGGAATGGGAAATGATGCTTCTCTCTTGAAGGTTATGTCCAATAATTTTGCCAAACAAACTACAATTGTTACACTTAGTAACGGAAGATATTGCTTGATATTTCTTATCAAATCTCTCACTAGAGCGCTTGGTGTTAGTTTTTTATCTCTAATTTTAGTGTGTTCCTGTCCGTTTCTGCAGGCTGAAATCGGGAAACTCTCCTTGGAAGAACAGAGATTAGATGATCGCATCAGGTTCTGTCACATGTTATCTTTTTAACTAAACTGTGCTCCTGATGTTTGTATACCATTCTGACACTTAGGATTGTCACAGAGAAATGCAACAAAAATTGAAGAATTTGAGTGAAGATTCGGATAATCAGAAGTAATAATATTCTACAACATTTGCTAAATTTATCGGAACCAGTATGCATTTCATTCCAGGAACTAATTACAGCGTTTCAAATCTTAACTTTTACAGATGGCTTTTTGTTACTGAGGAGGATATCAAAAGCCGGCCCTGCTTTCAGGTGATCTCTTGTTTTTTCTGTTGCAGGGAGATTTCTCCTCAATGTATTGCCAACATTAGACGCAGGAGGTCTTTCAACTTCTAATTTTATTGTATAAGAGCTTTTCCTCATTAGTAAACTTTTTCTCCATGTTTGGCAGAATGAAACCCTTATAGCCATTAAAGCTCCTCATGGAACTACCCTGGAAGTGCCAGATCCTAATGAGGTATGACTCCGGGATTTAGTATTGCTGGCTCAAGTTCACATGTGTGTACTTGAAGTTGATTTCTCAATTCTTTTCAGGCTGTTGATTATCCACAAAGGAGATACAGAATTATACTTAGAAGCACAATGGGGCCCATTGATGTTTACCTTGTCAGGTAGTCTTCATATGAAATGCATAATAGTACAATGGTATCTGCCTTTTATTCTTATTCACGATCAATCTTCTTTTTAGCTACATATGTCTAATAGCTTATCAATTTTGCTATATTAATGCATTGTAGTCAATTTGAGGAGAAATTTGAGGATGAGAATAGTGTTGATCCACCAATGACATACCCAGTGTGTTCAAGTTCTGGTTCAAATGACAATCCAGCTCTAGATATGCCCATTCACAACTCTAGGCCAGTAGAAGGATCACAGGCTCAGGATGCAACTAGAACAAGTTCAAACGTAGATGCTACACAAGGAGGCATGATGAAAATTGCCCCCTCGGAAGTGGACGTGAGTGTCCCTATCTCTTTCATTTTTGTAAATCTAGATCTTTTGGAAGTGCCATGGACACATAAAAGGCTACTACAAAGCAAAGTTATGATAGTTTCGGCCACGCTTGAAGCTTCTTTGAGTTAAACTTAATCGATGCAAAATGTTGGTCATTTTTCTTTGAGATATCGTGGTTTCTCTTGAGATTAGCACTTTTCAGTGCATGATACATGTGTTTTCTGTTTCAGAATGAAGCAGATTACTGGCTTCTATCAAATCCAGACATAAGCATCACAGACATGTGGAAGTTTGATGGTACTTTATTCCAAATTGTTATGCTCTTTTGTATTGCATTCTGTTGCATGTATTGATTCTCAGTTTTCTGATTTCAATTAATAGCTGGTGTTGCATGGGATGATGTAGACTTGTTTCGCGATGAGTTTGGAATGGCTGATAATATGATTGAGCAACCGCAGACTCCACCATCCGGAGTTGCTGAAGTACCATTTGCCCCATCAAATCAGCCACCTCCAAGGTGATATAACTTTATGTTTCATGAACTGGACCTGAAAACTCGTGCACTTTTATCAAGTAGTCGTTGGAACCCAATTTGGCTGCCGCAGACGGAGTTTGCTAGTTGCTTCAAAAGAAGCAGATAAAATCACTTGAGGAACCTGCATTACAGTTTTGAGGAGATACGCATTGTATTGTACACTTCGCGGGAACTGTTTGTGATTGTACAGTTTTGGCCATGGTCATGGTGTAAAATTCCTTAGGATTCAGTTCGGAAGCCTGGATCCACCGAATTGGAAAATACTGAGAGAGCACATTTGAGAGGGAGAATGATTGGATTCTTTGTTAACCTTAATTGGAATGATATCTCTTTGCATTTTGCAATTGTCAAAGGATGTCCTTAAAGTAAGGTGACAGGAAAAAGATTTTGAAGAACAAAAATCGAGAATGTAATGATTCTTAGATATATATATATATATATATATATATATATATATATATATACGCAGATGGACATGATGCCCTAATTTTTGGTACTGGCCTGAAGGATATATCATCGTTTTACACCTATTTTGTGGTTCCATCGCAGTACGCGCAGTTTGTCTTGTCTCTAGTCCCCAATCGGACTACATGGGTAGCTACAGTAGCAATGTTGCTTTCTGTCATGACAAATTAAAAAAAAAAAAAAAGATAGTATGATATAAATAAATGGCAAAATTAGAGTATATTTTTCCCTAAGTCGCTGGATGAAGCTGTTTTATGCATTTTTATCTGTCGATTACTTTTCTGTTGCAACATAATAGTATCTTCCTAAGACATAAGGAGTTTTTTTAAGTCTTTGTACGGTCTGGATTTGCTTTTTTGTCTTTTTTACAAAAAAAAAGAAAAAAAAGCTCTAATTTGGGGAATAAACGTTATCAACGGTCTAAAATTATGAAAATTTGCGACTCTCTGAACAAGTGCACACTTAAAAACCATATATTAATCCATTACTCAAAGTTAGATCATAAAACCATATACCGTATTAAGTTTCAGTTATTCCTATATGGCTAAAAATAAGGCAAGATAAATTGTTACAAGAGTTCATAAATTCTGATTTACGATTAGAAAACACGAAATTACAAAACCAACACTCGGACCAGATCTAATACATAATTTTAAAAAGTTAGGTGAATGAAAATGAATCATAAATACGAAATTGCTAAATCCAGCATGTTTGAGTAGTGATGAAATTCCCTTTTTCCTTTTCTAAAGGGAAAGCCTCGGAAATGCTCCACCGAAAAATGAAAGACCTAAAAGTTACGGAAAAAATATACAGACACACAATGAGGTGAATTTTCCCATTCCTTTGTTTATTTCATCTTTCCCGCACCAGCTGAAGTTACAAAATGTACAACTTCACTTCTAAGCCTGTTAACAATTGCAACTTTAACTAATTATTATTTCCATGAATTTTAAAAGGTGCAGTAAAAATTTCGTAAACATAAACCCAACGGGCATTAATTTAAGATCGAACGAAATGGATTATCAAAAAGACCCTCAATAAATGAGCATACATAATTGACATGAATGCGATGATGAGGCGTCCAACCAAATTAAAAAAGAAAAAACAAAGAAAATATTTGCCAATAAAAAATTACCGAACAGAAAATAACATCACAAATTTTTTTAACATCCCACAGAAAAAAATAAAAATAGTGTAATTACCACAATTATAGGAACAAATGTAGGAAGATTAATTGATAAATTAGATACGCAATTAGTCTACGAAGGGTAAGCAGCTAATTGTTCTCCGAATTCAGAATATACACCTCATTCAATTATCACCGCCACCTCCACAACTCCGCTGTCCCCGCCGGCCAACCCAAACCCATTTTATCCCTCAAGAAGAAAAACATTAATTAACTATATAGTTGCGTTTAAGGAAAAGATATTTCATATTTATTCACAAAAATTGATTTAGCAAATAAAACCATTCCACAATCAGTCTAATAATAATCGACCTTATAAAGACATAGCCGCCACTTTGAAAGCTATACTAATAAAGTATATAAAGCACCCCCAAATATAAATAAATTAGGAACCAGAAAAAAACAGTGTAACCTCAAAAACTCTCTCTTTCCCTGCTAAAATAACAAACAACCCAGTGGGAAGCGGTGGACTTGTGGGGCCATGGACGACGGCGCGGCAACTCCTTTGCCAACAACCACCACCCAGACCCGCCTCCTCCGCTGCCGGAGCAACTCCTATTCTAAATCAGTTCTCAGCCTTTCTTTCAAGAATCACCGTCCATCAATTGCGACGCCGTCTCCTTTCTCATCCTGGTCGTCGGGAGTAGACTTTGACCCTGTCTTAATCAAGCCATCTTCCTACACTTCCCTGAAAGATCTTCTGCCGTCAACGGCCGTTAACTCTCCCAAGCCCAACTCCCCAACCCAATCGGCCTCCAAAAATATCTCCATTAAAAACCATCTTGTTAAGCAGGCCGCCTTTGCTTACCTCCAGCCCATGTCCAGCACTCCGGACGCTACCGGGAGGAACTTCTTCCGCCGTATCTGGATCAAACTTCAGGCCAACAATCCCGTCGGAGCTCTCCGCAACTTCTTCAATGTCCATGTGTTTGGGAGACTCAATCACGCCTTTGATTGGCTGTTGCAGACTGTTTGCCTTCGTAGCTCCAGATAGCTCGAGTTTCTTCTTTTCAAGAGAAAAGAAGAAGGAAAAAAAAAAACTACATACAGAGAAAGAGATGAATAAGAATGGGTGGGGACTCCATGGCTTTTTCTAGGTTGCTCTTCATTGATTGATTTTGTGTCCCAATTGGAAATTGTTTCTATACTGATGATTTAGACAACAAATGGAAGTTTTTTGTTTCTCAATTTTGGTTTTTTGTTGCTTGTTTGTTATATCATGACAAATTGAAAACAGAGAGATGGGAAAGAATTAAGAATCAATCACTAATGAAAAAAAAAAAAAAAAAAAAAACTAATTACAATGAATTCACTGTCATTTTCTCTTTCATTTCACCTACTCTGTTTCTGTCTACATTTCTGTAATCTTTTTTGTAAAACTAATGAAAGCCTTTGGAGCGCCTCAATTTGAGGCGAGCTAGATTTAAATGTTGATTCAAGTTGTGTTGATGCTTATGTTCTTCTGAAGGAGCCGATTTGGGTGGGCTCCTAGAACTATCCGAATCCTTTTCCAAGTCCATTTCTATCTCCGACGGATGTTCCTCTGTCCGGACAAACTGCGTTTCTTCGTGGAGATGGACTTGAACTGACTCCGACGGGGTCGGTTGTGCGACGGAGCGGTGGGAGCTGAAGGGGGATTGCGGCGGTAGTGGTGGCCGCCTCCGGTCAAATGAATTCCTGTTCCTTCGGAATAATCCCCCTCCGGTGGTGGCTGATGAGGGCGTGTTGCTGGGACTCGGTGGCACCGGCGGTGGCGTGCTCGGTGGGGCTGGCGGAGGAGGGTCTTTGACTTCCGGTCTCTGCAAACACATTGGTTCGAAAAACCAAAGTAAGTGTCAAAACATTTCGCTGTAATAAATTAATTGCTGGTAAAACCTTACAAATGACAGAAATTACAAATTGACAAAAATCCTACGTTTCAACTGAAGCACAAACCGATAAGTAACTATGTTGCTATTTCGGTGTAATCTGGGGAAAAAGCCAAAGATTTAACAAGCAAAAAACTCATCCCATTGCATTTTGGTTGTTCATCAATAAATAAATTTGACCATTTCTTTGGTGTTAGTATTTTGTTTCTGAGCTGAAGAAGAGAGGACATGACATTTAGTCCCATTTGACGTGCTATAGATGTTGCGGCTAGCATTACTCCAAAATTAAGGACACTAAAGAAAAAAGTTTGAGGCTAAACTGTAAGTGGTGGTCCACAATCATTGATACTGATAGCACTCAACACTGACTGATGTGTTTGGGCTCCTCCAATCGATATAAACTAACACTTGGGCTTTTGTCTTTGATCACTACAACCATAGCTTAATCATAGGAATGTAATTATAGGAAGAAAATAACAGTCTTACCAAATTAATTGTCCTGTTTATTTTACTATGATAGTGGTATAAAGAAAGAGACAATGATTTCGGAATTACGTTAGTACCTGTAAGATGGGCTGGCGAAGCTTCACAACATTAGTGAAGAGAAAATCAAGAAGTTGGAAAAATGTGGATTGGCCCAACTGGGTGCAATTTTCCCAATAATAAACCAGCAGATCCCAAGCTCTGGCCCTGAATTCTACCAGATTCCTGTCGATGTCAGATTCATGTTTAATCATGTAGGGCTTCAGCAAGGTATCGTATACATATCCGCTTCCTTTTGCTTTTGGATACCACAAATATATAAACAAGGCCAACTTCATTTCCCAGTACATTGGCACCCTGTAAAAAAAAAAAAAAGCAAGTTGAAACCATTCAATAATAGTTTCTTCACATTCATCAAATTCAACTGATAAAGTGGTAAAAGAAAAAAGGGACAAAAGCTTGTACTTGAACTTGATCATACCATGATACCAAGATGTCACATATCCTCTCTGTAACTGTTACCACAGCAACAAGTATCCTGAATCAATCAACAGAAGAATTAACACATTTTGGAGTCCAATCCAATTCTTTACAAATATTTCATACATCATTGTTGAAACAGGATTGAATAGAAACCATTGCACCTACTTTTCGAGAATCCAATCCATATAAAAACAGTGGAATAGGTGAGTAGTAGTTCAATTGCAACGAGGTTTTTTCCAACATTGGAACGTGATTAGAACAAAACGGAAGCATTTTATATTTTATAGTCAAAAGATTCCGATATGTCAGTTTGTTCAACAACATTGTCGCTATCTTAAGCCCCCATGTATTGATGTCCTTTTCCAGACAATTAATGACTAATATTCACAATTAACCACCTCTCCTTCGTTGTACTACTTTACAGCCTCATCACAACAAATTAATAAATGGGTTGCGTCTCAATTCCAGTATAATTTTAGGAACAAGTCTTTAATTGGACGTTAGAACCATTCAACCCAATAATTTCCCAGAAATCAAGCTAAAACTTATACTATTACTACATGGTTTTTTGAACGTTCTATAATTATATTGTTCTGACTTTTGAAAAAAGAAAAAAAAAAAACTTATGGGCGGAAATAAAGTATGCTTCTTACCAGTATTGACACCAATATCGAAGCTCTTCAATCTCTACTCTGTTCTTCTCCACGGTTTTGAAACATTCAAAGGCAGGGTAAGCATAACCCAGAACCAATCTGCCATTTCCAATGGAAAAAAAAATACCAAACTAATTCAGTCATCCATTTTAACGACAAATGTAAAAGCAAAACCCAATTAAAAAGGGAGTTCAACAAAGCAAAAGGAACAAAAACCCAAGAACAACAGGGAAAAGGGCAAAAGGTAAAACACACAGAATCAATACAACAGTGATCGGAAAAAAAAGAGAACGGTAATCATGAAAGACATACACTAATACTCTGGTAATGAATTCTCCCAACATCCTTCAAAGAAACCGAAGTCCCTTCCAATATTTCCTGCCAAACCCAGAAACAAAAATTCCGTTAATCAAATTGCTCCCGATAAACAATCATTGGGAAGGGGCAAAAAAATGAAATCAACCCGGAACCAGAATAAGAAGGAGAAGAAGGAATACAAGGAAGTGAACCTTTTGATGAATTGAATTCCAACCCAGAAAAGAAATCGGTTCCCCAAATGGTTGACGGGAACAACTGCATGCGGTCACGAGATAAATTAAACATTAAAAACACGCCGACCCAGAAAACCGTGAATCCGTTAATAAATAAACATTCAATTCCAGAAAACCAAAAGAAAAGATGAAAAATCACGGGGAAATAATACCTTTTGGTTCAGAGGAAGGATCTCCGGTTTGCCTGGGGGTGTTTGGGAACCGGAGCAAACAACCCAGAAAACGTAAGAAGGGAGTTTTCTTTGTGCACTTAATTAATGTACAATAAAATAAGTGTTTGAAGAAAACAAATGATTATAATGGATAAATGGATTTGGATTGATGGAGGAGCAAAAAGTGAGTAGAAAATGTGAGAGATGGATTTTTAATGGGGGGTGAGACTTAGAAGGGAGGGATTTGCAAGATTGGAGGCAATATTTTGATTAGGCTATCTTTCAGGGGATTTCTTGCCAGTGACGCCTTCTCAATTATTTTACACGTAATAAATTTCAGTGAAAGTACTCCTCCCAAAAGCCAAAACAACCAAATAAAAATGATTCCATTTCAATGCAGATTTCCCTGAATTCTTCCAAAAGATTTAACCCCTGGCGGTTATATATGATTTTGGAAAGGGCAAACCACCGGTTCAATCAGCGGGATTTTGGAAGCAATTAAAGATTGAAAATGGGCTGAAAAAAGGTTAGAGAATTGTTCAACTTTGGCCTCGTCAAAATTCGTGCACAAGGGTCAAAGGGATTCGTAGATCTTCTTTTAGGTGACTTTCATATGGATTCTAGACCAATTGATTTTTAAGCAAAAGACCGAGACCATAATATTGATGTTACGTAGTAGGATTTATTGAAATATAATTGTCTCTGTCATGGCTTCAACTACTTCATTCAAGTAGTTTTCTGACTGCAAAATGGTTGGTTAGTTATAATTGGCCCAAGAGGGGAACAGGAAAGACCAAGGTAACTTCACTTCAGCACTGAATATTTTATACATTGTTTAAGGTTGTGAATTTCAACGCACTTAACTTCCTTTATCACTATATATATACCCCATGGAATTTTCTTTGCCTTCTAGCTGAGGAATCACTTCTGAGAAGTTGCAATAATTGCTAAATGTAAGATAAGATCTTGTATCAATATCAGAAACAGCTTTTAAAATCTAATTGCAATGTTAGAGTTTCTGAATAGCATAAGGTTCATCTATTGATTCTCATCAGTGCATATACATATTGTATTACCCAATAAAAGCATCACAGGCTCGTAAAATAATTAAGGCGTCTTGTTTATCTACTTGTAATTCTACTTATTTTAACAATACAAAGTTCGTGAAAAAGGATTTGTCTTGAGGACGTATAGTTGACACTTGAGAGACAATTCCAAATACGCAAGAATAAAAGATAAGCATTATCATGAAATGCAATTGCCGTACTTTTTCTTTTTCTTTTTCTTTTTTTTTCTTTTTTTTTTTGTGGCAACTGCAAACCAAGTAATATGGCATGCATGATCTCGCGAAGTTTGCATTTTTTTTTCTCCTTCTTTATTCTTTTGGCCGTATGATCTGATTGGCCTTTTGGGTGCTTTTGTTTTATTAATTATGAGCTGATTCCTCCATGTTTGTCCTACTCAATGTACAACCATTGCGCATCTACCGTTGAAACTATGAAACTGAAGTGATGATGAATTGCACTATATAGATGATCATTCTGACAATTTAAAATCACACAATATATGAAATGTACTGTAAAACCTTGACAATTTAATCTCCTATTTTTCTCATACCCGTATTTTAACAAAAGGGGAAAACATGTTGACACAGTTTGAGTAAAAACTAAGGAACAGAAATGATGATTCATCGAGCATATATATAACTTTTTTTTTTTCTTTTTTTGTTGGTTTGGAATGATTTAGAATTATCATGCTGTATGTGGTACCGCTGGTTCTTTTTTCTTTGCACTCCTCGGTGAACAATCAGGCAAAAGTGTCTGGAGTTTAACCAAATTTTTTTAATTCCAAACACATCAGGCTTAAACAAATTTGTACAACACACAAAACTTTACTGTATTTTGGGGTTACAAGCATCCACAACCGAATATCGCGCGCTGTAAAATAATTACATTATGAATTTACGAGGATAAATATTAACTCTATCCCATCATGGTCTATTCGCTACCAAAATGAATGGCAAGATATTGTCTTCCACAATAAAACTTCAAATTCATTGAATACATTTTCAAATAAAACACGCATATGTCCTCATTGTACTCAAAAGTGGCGGGAAACTGAAATGGCATTTTGTACATTTTGCATTAGGGGAACTAATCCAATCGTGATTAAGTTGATGCGCTAGGTCAACCTTTATCCAAATAGTGTCAACCATTGATTGTTGCAATAGATAATCTTGTTAGAGTGATGATACATATAGGAAAAAACTGATAAGGAAATTGACAGGTGATGACATAGTTGAATCTTAACTATTCCATAATGCTTAGACGAATGAACCCTTGAAGAAATGTTATAATCATACACCGTTATGATTCATTTCCTGCAAAATTTCATGAATCATTATCTATCTCGTTAATATTGTGTCTTGCCTTGAAATCTCTATTAAATAAATAAAATATTACATTTTCTAATGTTGGAAACTAGTGCCAATGCAGGACAATTTTTTTTGGTGTTGTTAAACGCAGTTTGAATTTACTCTGCGCAGCTTATTGAATAGACTAAAATACCCCTATGAAACTGCACAAAGTAAAATTAAATTGCACGAAATAAAATAAAGATACACGAAATAAAATCAAACTGCACAAAGTAAAATAAAGACACATAAGTGACATAAAAAAAAGCACGATCACTAATCAGCAAAAAAAAAACACGATCACCAATCAATAATCATGCCAAAACCATAAAATTTCGCGTAAATTATTTCTCCTTGTAAAAAAAAAAATCCATCAGAAAATGACAATGGTGATCACACCAATAAGAAAGTGAATTTCGCAAAAAAATTATCTGTTGAGAACCCAATATCTTATTTTATCTTATTTTTTTTGTGTTATTTGATTTTTCGCCGTTGCAAACCATCAAAAATCAATGCTTTTTGGGCAATATAATAAAAGAACTTGTGAGAAGTTCTAAAAAATTGATCGTGCAAAAGAATTTGGAAGAGTTTAAGGTTCAAAGGTATTTTAGTCTATTGTACGAGTTGTGCGAAGTAAAATCAAGTTGCATTTAGCAATAATTTTTTTTTATTCATCAACGTCCATGTTGAGATCAAATGAAGAATCAAAATTATGTAGGTTGAGTTTTTTGCACCCGAGGACAAAAAAAGCCGGAAAAATAATTGTGTATTGATATTCTTGTGATGTAACAAATGTATCAAGCTTTCGGCTCATTTGCAAATTGCAACTAAATAAACTTCATAAATTAGAAATTTTTAGGAAAATGATCATTATCGAGGGTAAATGACAACGAATTTTCAGTTTGTATGGGTAGACAAATATTTCTTAGAAACCTTTGCTCTGAACGTGCATGGTTTGGTGTTATGAACTGAGGGGCCTAATTGTCTTAAATCTATAGTTAGGGAGTAAGTTGTAATTCTGAAAAATGCATTGACTATAAATAGTCAAACATGGTCTGAAAATGAATAATCAAAATATTGATATTGAAATTGTATTTTCACGATTGTGTTGAATTTCACCAATTCCGGGTTTGACCTGTCTTTCCGGTTTGCGGGATTCCGCCCTTCTCCGGTCACTACCTTGCCGGTAGCTGACAGTTGGTGACCATCAAACCTTGTGGGCAGGACAAATGGTCAGTGGAGGGCACTTATATGCATTAAATATTTTGAAATATAGTTATTATTCTATCGAGTTAGTATTGGTCGGCTAATCCAGAATTGAAAGTAGGGCAAAGTACAAATTATACTGCCGATAGTCGAATGCAGAGTCTCCTTCGTCAATAGTACAAATTTAATGGTCCAAAACAAGAAATTATCTCATTCGATTTTGTCATTCCAAGAGTCTTCATTTCAAATTTGTTCTTCTACCACACAACAATCCGATCTAATAATCCAAAAAAACTGCATGGCGCAGTCTCGTGGTAATCATTATTGACCCATATAGCAGAGATTAGTAGTATTTATGTACCAGCAAGATTCACAAAAAAATAACACACAACCCACTGCCACAGCCTAACTTCAAATTCAATTGTCAATGGCAAAACTCAAACTTCCTTCTGCCTTCATCACTCTGTTCCATCTATCTAACTCTTTCATCGCCTTCATTTGCCTACATAATCAGCAGCCACCTGAATCCACCATCATTTGCTAATTCACCAGCGAGAAATCCATGGGAAAGGGTCAACCACGCAGCGTACCAATCACTCACCAGAGCACATAATATCAAAGTTTACGAAACAGGCCTTTTTCCTCATTCCTCAAGTTACACATGCTCCCTCGAATTCGGAACACCGCCACAAACAATGACATCAATGTTGGATACGGGAAGCAGCGTAACATGGTTCCCCTGCACTAATCACTACAATTGCTCTGATTGTGGCAATATTGATGATGACCGTAATTCTACAAATTTCATTCCAGAACACTCCACTTCTGCCCGTGTATTGGAGTGTACAAGCCCAGAGTGTCAGAAATTCCATGTAAACAATCTATTTTGCAATGATTGCCACGAAAGCTCCAAGCCGAATAATTGTACCCAACTATGTCCATATAACATAGGATACGGAATTGGATCGACCTCTGGTTTTTTCTTGTCAGAGACCCTTCACTTCTCTGACGCAATCCAAGTCAAGGATTTCGTCGTCGGCTGCTCCACCAAAGCATCCCAAATGTCCGTCGGGATAGCGGGATTTGGCCGGAAACAAATTGCAATGCCGGCCCAATTGGGGGCTAAGATGTTTTCGTATTGCTTAGTGTCTCATAAATTCGATGACACTTCCAAGACTAGTCAGCTCATCATGGTTAGGGAAGGCAGCGACGGCGGTGGCTATCGGAGTAACGATTCCCAGTCTGGGATTGTCTATACTCCGTTCACGAGATTTCAAACTGTAGAAAGCTATTATTATGTTACAGTAACAAAAATCACGGTAGGTTTGGTCGACATTAAAGTCCCGAATCGGTATCTTGTGCCAGGGCCGGATGGCAACGGAGGGACGATCGTTGATTCCGGCACTACTTTCACGGTGATGGACGACGAGATTTTTCAACTGGTGTTGGCAGAGTATGAAAATCAAATGGGACAGTATTATCCTAGAGCTGATGATCTTAATATAGACAACCATGCGAATTTGACGTGTTACAACGTATCCGGGTCAAATCCGGGGAATTATCCAGAACTGAACTTCTATTTTGAAGGTGGAGCGAAAATGGCAGTTTCCATATCGGATAGTTTTGATCCGAACCCGGATGTGGTTTGTTTGACGCTACTATCTGCGCTGATACTCGGAGATGATCAATCCGGACCGTCCATCATTCTGGGCAATTTTCTGCAACAAGATATTTACTTCGAGTATGACCTAGAAAACCAGAGGCTTGGATTTCGAAAGCAAATTTGCTAGTCACTTGTATTCGATTTCGAATTCACAATGCTATTTCTGAATCTGTATTTTGTGAAATGAAAGGTTTGGAAAGACTCGAAAATTGAACGATATCACCAGTAATAGCGGTGTTTGAATCCGTTCCAAAAATGGTTAACGTCCCTCCATTGGAATCAATGAAGAACTTTCCTTTTTTCTTTCGGTGCAAGAAAGGAAGATTGGTTTCCTTTTTCAACACTAATTAGTAATTACTATCCCTTTGGTCTATAAATATAGATCCGTCGCACAAAAATTCCGTCGACAGGGGGAGAAAGAATCCTGTTTATTTTTTCGAGAGAGTGAATTAATCAATGGAAGGAGATCAAGATTTGTGGAAGGCCTTTAAGCCGGAAAAACTTAAGTGGGGAAAGAAATTAGCTTCCGGTGGTTATGGAGATGTGTTTGCCGGTGCATACGATGGGAAAAAAGTTGCAATCAAAGTAATGATTGGTTCAGCTTTTGAACAGGCGTTCCAGCGAGAAGTATGGACATGGATTCAGGTTGGTGATCATCCAAACGTGGCAGTGTTTATTGGGGCAACGAAAGATATCACCCCCGAAGCAGCTCAAAAGTTGTTATTGCATTGTGAGTGAATTTCTCCCGGGTGGTACGTTAGCCGCGTACATCATAAAACCCAAGAAGATAGCTTTCTCCCGCAAACTCCAATTAGCCCTGGATGCTGCCAGAGGGGTGTCTCATCTACACTCCAAGAACATCCTTCATCGAGACGTGAAGCTCGAGAATCTGTTACTCGATGGTGAAGGCAGGGTGAAGATTCTCGATTTTGGGATTTCAAGAATTGAAGATGTTGACATGAGCGTCAATGTCGGGAGCAGAGGATACAAAGCTCCAGAGGTTATGATTCATGGGTCGTATGATTGCAGGTGTGATGTCTTCAGTTTTGGGATTTGCCTCTGGGAGATATATTACCAGAAGAGAGCCCAACTCAATCTGAGTACAACCCCACGAATCGGCGATGATTGTCCCGAAGATCTGGCTAATTTGATGAGGCGGTGCTGGAGGGATTGTAAAGACAGACCCAAGATGACAGAAGTCGCCAAGGATTTAGAAGACATGTTAAGCAAAACAGAAGACGACATGGTGTCCCAAACAAATAATCAAGTTGGTGGTTGTTGTATCGGCTTCCTGATCAGACGATGATAAGAAGAACCTCTGAAAGATTAATGAGTTTGGTCCCAAATCAGCTCTAATCAGGGCTCGGATCCGGTGTATATCAATCGAGTGCACATCCAAAAAGTCACCTCAATTGCTGAAGAAGTGAAGATTGGAAAGAAAAGATTGGGGTGTTTTTTCTTTTTCCAACATTTGGTGAAGCATGCGGAATCTCAAATTTTGTTGATACAAACAAGTCGACGGCAGCAGCGGCACGGTGTGTTTCCCGGCGGAAAAAGGAGGACGAAGAAGACGTAGCATATTATGTGTACATTGTTTTTCTTTCTGAGCTCTGAGTTGATTGCTTTACTGTATTTCTGGAAGAATATTTGTTCACAGTTTTGCGGTTTTGGCTCTGTAAAGATTATCACTTTTCAGTTACCCTATTGTACAATGGAGAGAAGATCATCTTGTTGCCTGAGGCAGTTGAGTTGGACCACTTTGGGACAAATCCTTTTTGATACTATACAACTAAACCTACCAATTTTTGACAAAATGACTATGAAAAGCCTGTTACTGCATTAGTTCTTATTACTGTTATAAATCAGTTCGGAGAAAAGGTGGAACCATTTTGCTTGCATATGTATCTGTTACTTTCCCGAAATCTCAGTCTAATTTGACCTACTTTTTTCATGAAGATTCCTAGCGAATGAGCTGCGGAGGATCAAGTATGCCACCTACTTTTCGCAGTTTTACAGTGAACTAATTTTCTGTTATTAATGCCAAAGTCTTAACGAAATAATTTTCTCAAGCATTCATCAGTGTATATAGATTTGAGGGCTGGTGAATGGTTCAGTTGTTTAGAGAATAGTGAAAATGAGTGGTGCTTGTCAAACACTGATTGCTTCTTTCATTGTACTTGTAAGATCTGAAATCTAAGTGTAATGAAGTTTTTCCTCCTCCTCCTTCGTGCTTGAGATATTGTTTTCCACATAATTTAATACCAGTAGCTTTCATTTATGGGCAACATACTGAAAAGAGTTCATTATGAATTTTTCAGTTGCATCTTGTGCGGTAATCACAGCACTGTGGTAGCAACCTTGTTGTTATTGTTTATTATACTAGCTGATAGTAAAGGTGAATTCCCTTCTTGATTACTCTCTTTGCATGATTAGCTTTTCCAATTCTCCATTCCTTAACTTCTTTTTAACCTTTCTACAGACCTTGATTCTCTGAAGTGAAGGTATCTCCTTTGCCCCTTCCTCTTTATCATCAGAGAACCATTTTCCCTTGACCACTCGTAATAAGAAGATAAAGATTTGCATGCCGAAGCCGAAAAAAATGTGGTGCAAATTAGGCCCGGAATTTGTTGGGCCTATTGGATTTATGGCAAGTTGGACATAGAGTCAGTCCACTCAGATTACAAACATTGGCACTTTTGCTGAATTATCCTTCATTATCTTACTTAATTACAATAGACATCTTAATTTTTCCAATTTTACAAACAACAACACATACAGATTTGAGATTACAGAAAAGGTTTCAGAAACTTGATAGCGGTTCGATAAAATCCATGTTTATTGGACAACTACTTCTTCCTGTTGCCCGAACGATCAATCCGACCCCCTGCTTCCTCCTCCGCTCCAGGTACTGCCGCCAAATCCTTGATTTAACACAAAACACACACAATGCTACAAAATCATTCCGGTGATTGAATTTGTAAAATTCTCAGCTTCACATGTCTAAATGATGTACAACGTTGTACTAGTAAGAGTTGTGATTAATCCCGGTAGATAACGGTTTCAAATTTACTTATCGAATGTGCTCAAACAGGAAGATATTGTTGTCAATGTACGCAGCCAATTCAAAGATGGGCGACGATAATCTCAGGCTAATTGACGACAAGAAGCGTGCTAATTACCGTCTTTGCAATGTAGCCGGGTATTCTTGCTGCCTGTTCATCCATTTTATTGCTTCCCCTTTTTCTCCATCTCTTGTGATTTGCTCATTTTAGCATAATTTTTCATTTCTGAGTTGGCTTTTTGTTTGCTATTTTATTTTTAGTTACAAGACGGATTTGATAGAAATTCGCGCTCAAAATCCGGCATTCCATGTTCTGTTCATTCCTGGGAATCCTGGTGAGACTATTTCTCTATTCTATCTCTTTCTCGCCCTCTCCAGGGAAGGAAATTGTGTTTACCGCTTCTTGAAAAAGTTGAGATAAAAAGTGTGGTTGTCAATTGGCAGGTGTTGTCTCATTCTACACTTGTTTTTTGGAGTCATTATATGAGCTGCTGGGAGGAAATGCTACTGTGACTGGTAAGGGGCTTCTGCTGACTCCTACAGTGTGTTTCCTTTTTTTTTTTTGTTGGTAATAAAAAAAGGTGAAGCATTCTTGTTTTATGTGTAGATCAAATACTTGTATTTCGTTTAAGTTTTGATAAAATACTTATTGATGTCTTGTTTGTGACTTGGTGTCGGCATTCCTCATCAGCTATTAGCCATGTATCTCACACACAAAAGGTAATCTATGTGTATTACGGAAACTTCAATTTATAGATTTGCCAGATTACAATTCATTCTAGATTTGTACGACTGATGATGAAGCATTTGTCATTAGTTGATTATTACTTTGATAAACTAAAATTTGGTTCATCCATTTTCAGAATTGGGAGCGTGGGAGGCTGTTTTCCTTACAAGAACAGATTGATCATAAGGTCATTAAAGCATTGCAATCACTGGAAGAAATATTCCAATTCCCTTTTCTGGTGTTAATTTTAATTCCTCTTTTTTGTAGATGACTTTTATGGAACAAGAACTTGGTGATAATGAAGTCCCTATTGTGTTGGTAAGTGTTGTTTACACTAGTATGATCAGTGTATTGTATATTTTCTGACACAGGAACTTCCTATACTAAGTAAAATTCTGTAATCATTTACTTGTGCATGGTTTGACATCTGAGAACCATTCATTGAAGTATTTTCGGAAGGATGTCTATTTTCTTATTCGTTATTCCAGCACCATCAAATATTTCTCAACTGCATCTTGCTAGCTCTGGATGACTCTAGTTAATTTTGAATACTTCCAGCTACAAATACATAGTTTAGTAACTCAAATGGTGACCTCACTTTGCTATTAAGGTTGGCCACTCCATTGGTGCCCACATATGTCTGGAAATGTTTAAAAGATCACCAGAAAAGGTACAAGCAGACCCAATTTACCACAGCTACAAATTTTGTTATGCTGTTCAGCTGTATTGTTTGATGCATCCTCTTCTATTGTAGGTAAGATACTGTGTCTGTTTGTATCCTTTTTTGGCCATAAATACAAAGTCTTCAACACAGTCTATCATTAGGAAAATTGCTGCGTAAGCTCTTTCTTTTACACTAATCCATTTTGTGCATCGGCTGTTTCAATAGATATTGTGCTTGAGATTGCATTGAACAATTTTTCATGATTGTTTGATTAGTGCTTCTACATTAATCACAACTTTGCAGAGACTGACATCTTATGGCCGTGATTACAGGTCCCCTCTAATATGTGCAGCAGTTAGTTCAATTGTGGCATTTTTTGGAATACTACCAATATGGGCCTCCAGGTTTATTGTTAAAAGTTCCTTGGGGAAGTTGTGGTCTTCTTCTGCCGTGGACGCGCTCTGTACCCATGTGTTTCAGGTAGAAATTTTACTACCTCAGAGAAGGTAGTCGGATCTTTATAATGTTACCGGGGTAGAGAATCTGAAGTGACTATTGAATTTTCTAATAAGTATTAGGTCATAGTTCTCCGTCCTTGCATAAAAGTGCTCACATCTCATCACTGTTTCCAGTATTAACATTTGTATCGTTGTACATCTAAGAAGTTGGAAGTTGTTTGGTCATTTAATTCTATTTTATCTGGAAGAATCGCTTTGAAAAACCTGATTACAACCACTAAATGAATATGACTTGATACATTCTAGGTGCACGTGCATGAGTTTGCTGATTGCTCATTGCTTTAATCTTTCTATGAGTCATTTATGCTCTCATGGCAGTGGCTTTCTGTATTTGATCTTTTGCTGCATATGTGTTTTCTTTCAGTACCACTCAATAAGGAACGTGCTCTTTATGGCAATGACCGAATTCAAAGAGGTAAATTTGTGCTTATTCTAGTCTCATCCTTTGCTTGTTTTTACTTTTGATAGTTGAAATGTAAATTCATTCTGGTCTCATGCTTTGCTTGTTGTTACTTTTGATAGTTGAAAATGTAAATAGAGTGCTGAGAACGGTTAAATTGTCATTTCTGTATCTTCAATAATGCGCAAAAAGTTGATTTTCCCCATCACCCCACCATTCTCAAATAGTATTTCTGATGCAACGATGTGTCCTTAGTTCAGCTTGCAGAAGCTCCAGATTGGGACTTCATAAGAGAGAAGAGAAGGCAGTTCTCATTCCTGTTTGGTCTGGATGATCACTGGGGTCCCTTGCACCTTTCCGAGGAGGTAAAAACGTGTCCTTTTCCACAATTACAGATTCTCTATGTTGAGATGTTGCCAAGTTTTATAGATTTCTCATCTTCGCCGAGAAGCAACCCAATTATGGGTGCCGGCATAATGCTAGTAAAACCGTCACGATAAACATCATCTCTTTGTACTGGTTTCTGAACATCAATAACTTTTGAGCAAGAATATGACTTGGTTTTCTTTTTTTGGGACCTTAAATTGATATTTCATAAACTAAGTTACTTAAAGTCCAGTTCAGGATTGGAGTGTTGTATGTTTTAGATCAGGTGAGTCATATTTGTTTGTCCTTTATAGCAGGATAACTTCATATGAAATGCAAGTTGATCCAAACTTATTATGATTTTGACATCTCTGTGAAAATAGTCATTTGGTGATATTTTTGCTTATCTTGATCAAGGAGATTAACTTGCAGAGTTACAATTGTCACTTGCCACCTCGCAATCCTGCGTTTTTTACCCTGTACTATTTTCTTTAAAGCACTGCTACTACACTCAACTTTATCACTTCCATTTTCTTTTCCCTTGCAGATAGCAAAGCAGGTCCCAGATGTAGTACTGGAAGTGGAGCGAGGAGGCCATACGCATGCTTTCTCTTGCACTGAGGCTGGCTCTTTGTGGGTTGCTAAGCACGTTGCAAGCTGGATAACCAATTACAACAAATCGAATTTCGATCTTTAAGGTGTATATCCTTCTTTTTCTAACATGTTTTTTGGACCCATTAAGATATACCTGTTTAGCTTTTCTGGTTCTTGGTGAAGGGCCTTCTTGTTTACAACTTGTGGGCTTGTGGCCCGCTTGATTGAGGAAGTAATGTCTGCTTTTTTGCCTTTAGCCTTTTTGTTAATTCTGATTTTGAATACAACTAAGAAATAGGTCTCCATAGTACCAGACCACAGCTGATGAGGAATTTTATTTTTGTGTACCATTTTGATCAGCGTTGCTTCTTGTCAGCGTCCTTTTTTAAGGCCATGAATGTTCCATGATAGCAGTAAGATAAAAATGTAGGAAATTATTTTCTCAGTTTGTGGGTTACCGCAGAACTGTCATCATTGCTGTTTCACGATGATCCACACAACTTTTTTTTTTTACCATTTTCTTTTTTTCTCTCCTGACTTATTCAGGTACAGACGAAACCTGTGTCAGCTTGTTATAATTGTCAGAATTGGATTATTCGGACGTGAAAAAACAAAATAGAGAGGCAGACAAATTTCTACCGAGAAGAAACCCCTCCCTAGTAACGCACATTATCTTCATAGACATGATTTTTAGTACTTTACCATTCTCATGATGCCCTTTGGAGGGGTACCATATTTGCCTTTTCCTTTTGTTCTCTTTTGGTTGATGATCCTCTTGTTTTGAGGTGGGAGGAGCACGTAAATCCACGGCTGCTCCCTTTAGCTCTGGTTCTTGTGCTTGTTTGCTTTCGGCTTTTTTTTTTTTTTTCCAGTGTCAGCAAAATCCAAACCTATGTGTTTAACTTTTGACTAGTGATGAGAAACCTTGAAAGCGAAGGCTGCAATGATGCGTTTGAGGTTAAAGTTATAACTACATGTGAAGGATTATGGACAGACTCTTGGGACTCGGGGAAGGAGGGACCTTAACCTCATGTGTTGTATTATAACGGAAGCAACGTTTGTACGTTATGGACCAATGGTTTTACCCCAATTAACTTTGAGAACCCCCCCAGATTAGGAATTTTCAACAACTCGTTCCCCAAAGAAGTAAGAACAGCACCAAAATTAAATTTCTTTACGAGTACCACTATTCCCAATCAACCATGAGAAAATGAAAACACATGTATAAAAACACTAGAATAAAAATAAAGATGAATATTGGTGCTTTAAGATTTTTATTACTATCATTACAAGTTACAACAAGGGTGCGTCACGTAAACCACCTTATCAGCTTGACCATTATGTTGAACGTCCATTATTTGTTTTCTTTTCGTAAAGCTGTTTATATTTTTACATTGGCGGTAATAGTTGTATCGTTATTTTTCACGTTTGCAATTAAGCGTACAACAATACACTAATCATCGAGTCAAGAATCGATTTCTGGAAATTGTTATAGGGTTTAAGAGATTAGACAATACGAATAGGTCAATCTGGTGGAAGAAGGGTAGGGCGGCGATCAACGAAGTCTCTATCGTAGGGGATTGTTCCAATTTCATGGATCCTATATCGTTCTTGCTTCTTGTTAGAACCCTCTTTCGTACTGTCATGTCAGCTCCTTCCATGTTACTGTACATTATTTAGCCATTGGCACATATTTCTTCTGAATTTTTATCCATTGCCCTTGTTATAAGCCAAATACATGTGATATCTGATTTCCCAAATCATTTCTGTCAACTTTTTTCCTTATACACTCATTTTGTCCTTTTTCCGTGTTCGTCTAATTAATTTAGTTCTGAAATGGCGTTAAAAACAGGTCTACATTCTAATCCTAACCCACACGCCCAAATTAAACAAATTGTAGTATTATCAAAATTCCCTTTCTTTCCTCTCATTTTCCTTCAAAAATACCACCACATGCAGACAGATCTGGACTTTTAGTGAATTTTCTTTCCAGTTATTTTTTTTCCTTTATAACCTTGATTAATTTGTCTGTGTCTTAGAAAGCTGTCAGATTTATTAGCACTAATGAAGTTGAGGAAAAAGATCACATTAAACTAAAAGCCTAAAAGGGGGTCCCTCGTAGCCTCACATGCCCGATTAATTTATAGCATGAGTTTCTGCGTCCATTTTTATTCATTCAGTTTACTTTACATATTATTTTTTGCACTCACTTCCTGGTTTTCGAGTTTCCTCCTTACTCAACCAAATCTCCTCCTCTGTTTTTGTCTCTGTTTTTTTTGCCTCCCTTAAAAAAAAAAATGTCAACCGGCAAGAAAAAACTCATCCTTAACTCTGTCGCCGTCGATCTCGGCTGCGGCAGTTGCAGGCGTCCTAAGCTTCTTCTCTCCCACATTTTCCACCCCAAAAAAATCCGCCGCCATTCCGATTACCGGAAACGGACCCGCAAACCCGACAAACACTATTACTCCTCTTCTGGTTCTCTGGAGACGACTAATACCTCCACTTTTTCGGATGAAACGCCGGCGTATTATTCTTCCGACACCGAGTCCGACATCAAAAGCTTGAGGGCGGTTCAGGGATTTGGGAAGCTGGGAGGGGAGAGTGTGGCGGTGGAGAAAGATTCCGACGACCCGTACCTCGATTTCCGGCAGTCAATGCTCCAGATGATTCTGGAGAACGAGATTTACTCCAAGGACGACCTTAAAGAGCTGCTCAACTGTTTCTTGCAGCTGAACTCGCCGTACTACCACGGGGTTATCGTGAGGGCCTTCACGGAGATCTGGAATGGGGTATTCTCGGTGAGGTCGACGACGGCGTCTCCTTACTTGCATGGCGGTGGCCGGTGGGGGGAGTCACGTGACTTTTAGTTTCTCATGCACGTGATAAACCCGGTTGTCTTCTCTTCTCTATGTTTTGTTCTAATTAGAAGAGGGAGGGGGGGTCAATAAATAAAATTTGTCATCATCTTAGAGATTCTTAGCCAAATTGTGTTGATGCTAATGTGTAAAAATGGCACCCGTGGAAAATTCGCATGGCTGCTAATTAGGTCGTTTTTAACTTTTAGCTTTTAGGATTTTCTTGTGTGTTTTGTGGGGTCTTTTTTTTAGATAATACTCCGTATGTGTGTGTTCATGTCATAGTATAGTAATAGCAGCAGTTTTAGTTGTAGTGTATTAGTAGGTCACTTTTAATTAACAGTTGTGGGGTTCGATTTTCACAGCCTTTCTGACTATATAATCTAAGAATGAAGTTTCATGTGTTTTAGGTGAGTAAGAGAATGTGCAGATGTTTTTTCTCGGATAAGATGGTCAAAAATGCTGTGAAAATTGTAATCTGGTTGTATTAGCTAGCAAATTATCAGTGAATGCAGTTACTTTCTTTGAATCTTTAGAAGGAAGCTCTTTTTTCTTTTTTATTAACATTTGAACAAATCTGTATACGATATGTGTAGTCCTCTTGAGACTCTCTTTCATAACTTTGTCCGAAATACCAATGTTTTGTTAGTTTATTAATTTCGCCATTTGTGGGTTGATCAGGGTTTCTAATATTCTAAAGCTTTTACAACTCCAATATGGTACATTTTGGAGAAACCAATGAATTATGATAGGAGGAAGATGATGATGATGATGACGACGAGAGTGTTGGGTCAGCCAAACCAAATTTCAAAGACGGGAGTGTTGGTCAAAATCATGGCTGGTAATAGTACTGCAAAACAGAGAGACTCGCAGAGAAGGTGAGAAAAGAAAGACGTTGGGATTTGAGAAATGGTACCAAAAGATATTATATATTGAGTTTGGGCCTTGAGGCAGAAGTTTGAATGCACTTTAATAATAAGGGTCACTACAAAATTTCTTGGGTGCATTTTCCAACAGTGTCATCATTGATTCGGCCCTGTCCTTGTCCCTTTTTATTGTTAGTATTTTCCCACTGCCTTTAGATATTGTTATGATGGGAGCCTCCATGGATTAAGGCAATGGGTTGCACCGATCTTTTTTCCCTGCCTTGAAAGCAATGAATGTTTATGGCTTATGACTCACGAGTGACTCAACGTATTCTGCCATACATAATTCCACACAGCAGACCCTAGACTTTCTAGTGTGTGTGATCTTTTTCCTATCCACGAAGAGAAGGAAGGGTCACTTAATTGTAGTATTCTCTCCGTTCTATTTTAATAATTCATTTTAAAAGTTTAACATAATAAGGTGGTATTAAAATGAAACGTAGAAAATACGGTTTATCTAAATGTTTGATTCTAGTTGGTAAAAGCTAAAACATGAGAGTTGTACTACTAGCTAGCTAGTACTAGTACATATAGAAGATTTAAGTGGATGAACTTTTGCGGCTGAAATATTGTTAGGTCAACAAGGCTCGATTCATCATGTGCTTAAAGAAGGGCTTCCACCATGTTTTAGGATAAAAAAAATTTGATGGACCAAAACGATTTCTACAGTTCATTTTCTTTTTTTCCTTTAAAATTTACATCCAGATGCAAGTGTTTTAGCATGTTTTGAGGGGTGATACATTGTTCTTGACTAAATGGCCTTAAAATTTCAAATTAATGAAAATCACATAATGTGACGACTAGTTAAGTTTGAATTTGAAATTCAGAATGGAATGAAATGTATGTATCATCATGATTAAAAAGTTTCAAAGAAGACCAAAATGAATCATTAATTTGAGTAATTATTAAACCAAGATGGTTTAGGACTAAAAAAACCGAAAGAAAGGACGGTTGTCCATCACATTCCAATTCAATGCCACACCACGATGATGTAGAATATGAAATCGATTTTAATAAAAAAGATTTAAATGCGTCATTTACTGCATAGCATTTAAGTATGAAGAAACTGTGTAGTCTAGTCCAACTCCAAACCCTCACGGAATCTTAAAATTATTATTATTATTATGGTAACCCCAGACCCAGAGAGGAATGCAGTGGGTATATTGAGTCAATAGTTAGTGGCCACAGCTGGGTACTGGACTACTGGGGCGCTTTTAAGGTTGAGAAGCAAAATTTACGCTTTCTTGTGATCATCATTCTGCTATACAGTGTTTACTGATTCACGTCAAAATCATTATCCCTGTGCAGATAAAACTCTTTTACTGCCACACTGAAAGAGTGACAGCGTCTACATTTACGGCATCACAGTAAACTCGCCCTTCTGGAATTCACAAATGTTGGAAATTTTTTGGGCGAGTTTTATGATCTCCATTTCACCAGCTATACTATATAGTATATGTGAAATGATGTCTGTCACGTAATGTATGCAATTTCGCAGATGGAAGAAATCAGGAAATGACATTTCCTATCAATTAAATGGCAACAACAAGATAAGAATTAAGAAATATATTTAAATTTCCTAGCATGATGTAATGATGAATTATGAACGTATTGTGTACTGATTGTTGGGGTCCTTTTTTTTTTTTTTCTCTAGTTTTGTTTTTGGTTTGAATGAAGGGGGGGTATATTTTGCCAGTGGCTACCTCTAATAATGCCTGAAGACAGAGCTGTCAGCACATAAAAACGCATATTTTCATGAGTGAGTGAGTGAGTACTGAGTACTACTAACTATAGCTAGCTAGTGTGTCTTTTTGTTCTTGTATCTCTTTGGTGGGAGACATCTTTTGTTACTTCAAAAGTATCGTTGGTTTTTCTTGCCTCATCGAGCCAACACCAAACAATGCAAAAAAAAAAAAAAAAAAACAGAAATTTGTTATCAGTGATCAGACGGCACTATAAAGATCTCCTACAGTTAGAGATATTTCCCACCCTTAATTATACTATTGTTTGATTGAAAACATTAACTTAACCATCTTTGGAAAATAATTGGAGTTAAATAAAGTTTTGAGACTGACTTGCTCTCCGGGTTTCTGGGATGAGACTACTGTGGAAGAAGCAAGTTAATGACATCAATTTGTCGGTGGCAAATTTAATTGCCAAATGGAGATGGTCATATATACTTAAGGAAATTCTGTACATTGTCACTCAACGCAATGAGACCAGCATGAATCATTGCGTACGCTGAACCTGTACGAGTCATTCAGTACTCGAGTACGTATGATATATTGTGAGTGTCATTTACAACCCAATTTTCTAGTAACTTCACCTATGACTCCGTCCCATTTTAATATTTCAACAAAATACACTATTAAAATAGGACGAAGGCGAGAATTCCCAACCCTTTAGGGTTTATCATACAATGTTTAATATTTTCATTCTGTCGGGGTAGTATCGCCGTCGATGGTTCGTAGTCTTGCACGAATTTTTCACTTGAGCTCTTCATGGAGTTAGTTCTTTTGAACTGGCCTGTCTTTGTCTCTGCAAGGTTTAAACTTCAAATGCATAATAGAACGCCAATAATTTCCGGGTTTGGTAGTCTTTCCAAATTCGTACTCTATAGGGCTACATGATTTCTGTCCATATACAAAACTTCGTTTCTTTTTTTCCACCGAAAAGAACTGCTTGCAAGCAACAAAAGGAATGGTTTGTAGCGCTCAAAGCACCACCTGTGTCGACCCATTGATGCTACGCTAAAAGCATTTTACTTCTTTTATCTTCTTATCTTGCAGTATTCGGGAGTATGATCACATCTTGCTTGCTTGTTAAAGACTAGGCATGAAGCGACTTTACCAAAGAAAAAGGAGCGAAATGACTAGACACAGAAGAAATAATGAAGTGAAATGAGGAATTGATCATAGTTTTTGTGCTCTCAAAATGATTATTTTATTTATCACACTAAAAATGTATCCATAAATAGAACAATCAGTCTTGGTGACTAGATTATATATAATAGGCATACACCTTTTCTTTCTCTGTCAATGAAAAGTGGTACTCCCTGCTCCGCTCCTTAACATAAAGTATTTTTATTTGTTCTAAATTTTACATAATACGCATTTTTATTAACAAAAGAAAAACATTAAAACTATATTTTCGTATTCGTTGTATTCTATTGATTGTAAAATGAAATAGTTTTAAGGTTTTTTTATCAATTAAAAATTTATATTAGGTGAAATTTAAGACAAATCAAAATATTTTATATTAAGGACAGGATGGATTATATTTGAATGGTTTGAGGGATCGATGGTTGAGATTTGAGAATTTGAGGCCAATTGGGCCTTCTTGTTCTGGTTCGGATCATCCTTGATAGGAAGAGGGTAGACAGGTATAAACCGGACAATCCTGCTTTTTGTAACTCCATGAGGGAAACACAACTTTGTCCCACGTCAGTATCAAGAATCAAGATGCTTTTCTGAAATGTTCCTCAAAAAAATTGGAGTTTCGAAGAATCACAAATGCATTTCGGGATTAAAACCCAATATTCCCTTCTGTATTCATTAACTCAAGTGTATTTTTTTTTTGTGTGTTAATTAAATATAATTTGACAAATAGTAACGTAATGAAATTGTTACATGTCTATGAAATATGTTTGAACCGTGATTTCAGTCGACAAAAACTAATGAAAATTCCAACTTGAAGTCCAAGGCAAAGAAGCTAACTTTAGATAGTAAAATGGATTCATTTGAAGGGAACTACTTTTGATTATCCTTTTTTATTAAAAGGAAAAAAAAAAGTCAACCCTTCTCTCCTACTCATCTACAGTTAGCCTCAAACTCAAAATACGACTTTGCTTTCTTTTGTTGGCAATTGTAAACTTTCCCATATTATTATTTATTTTTCCATTGATGTACCTACTTACCAGATCATGAGTGAAACATAAGCATTCTTTAGTTATAATGGATATTTCGTTTAATTTTTGCGAGCATTATTAATCTGATCTCCGAATGGATGTATTTTAATCGCATGGGATCATATTTTTTTATCGTAAGAAGGGCCAAATAATTCAGCCACTTGTGTAATTCAAGTATAGACTGAATTACTACTTGCATAAACCCGTTGTACTGGTAGCTATATATATCATGATGACTTTGAATTAATAGACGCTCTCAGGTAGCAGGACGTACTGCATTCACCGGCGATGTTTGCTGCGCTGGTCATAATATTTTGCAGCAGCCGGCGCATCATAATCCCTGCATATATGGTAAGCTGATGGATGATCACGATGATGAAGATTTTGGAGTGTCATCAATCGTATCTTTTGGGGGGTGGATAATGACCTCTTCTGGCTCTCTATATTAATTGCATTGTATATGGCTTCCAGTTAGCTTGCATGAATAACCATGAAAAATTACTGCTGAATCAAAATAAGCTGCATAATTTTATCGCATCCGACGTATTAATGTTTATTATGTCTGGTAATAAGCTTCTCTCTATATTTTAACCACTCTAGCTATATATTTGTAGCGCCTGAGGATGATGATTAATTTTTCAGATCAACCTGTCACGTGAATTATGCCGGACTTTTACTCTATTGCAGTTTTAAGTATGGACAAGAAGTGTGAAGTGAATTTTACTTCTGACAGTAGATTAATTACTTTGGGTTTCTCCATCATGACCTAGTTGTAAGCACTAAGCAGTAAAAATTTACTGCGCTTCATTTACAGCGCTGCCAAATATCAAATCCTCCATCCTAGCCCGCATCCTCCTAATATCTAATGATATATACATAAAGATGGGCATAGTAACATTCATTCCATCGGCATTTATCAGACCCTATTTCATTGTTTTGGCTATAATAATGAATATTTCAAATCCCTGTTCAGAGTTCATTTTTTTTTTCAACTGCTAAATTCAGTAAGCAAAGAAACAGGGAGGTAAAAAAGGAAGAGAGTCAAGCCGGAAGCCTTTTGGAGATGGGCCACAATGGCGGCCTGCAGCAGGGTGGCTCCGCCGCAGATGGATTAATTTAACACATTCAATGTCGACGATATACTGTATCATCTCTGAATCAAACCCGGGCAGTAAGAGATTCGAGCAGAAACCGAGAAAAGAACCCGACCCCAACTTGTGAGTGTGCGTGATTGGGCCTGATCTTTTTAAAGATAATTTATCTCGGGGATGTGACGAAGTGTTTCATTGAATGGTTTTAATTTGAGTCATTACTCAGAAAACGACCCGACCCAAATCGGGGCTGATTACACAACAAGAACAGGGACCCTGTAGTAGTACACATTTCGTATGGGTTTCCTTGAACAGATAATTAATTAAACATTGTAGCATTGGTAATGACAAAATTGAAACCTGCAGTAGATAAATATCGATGGGTATGACCCGTTGGTTTGTTTGTCTGGAAATCCCTCCCCATCAAAATTCACACCTTTTGCATTAACTAACCCATTTATGATTTGCTATTCAGGGCCGGATCATTAATTCAACCATCCTTTCAATTTACTAAGTGGTTTCCAGTACGAGGGACACCGCTCCAATTGAGATTTATTTATTTTTTTACTTCAGCTCTCTCATTCTGATTCAAACTCCAAAGATTTATTTTCATTTTAAATTTATGCGATTTTGTTGAATAGTTGGTGTTGGTTACATCTTTTCCTTGATGTTACCTTAGTATTGAGCCACAAACATTGAACTTATCCTTGATTTTAACTTAGTAAACTGGTTACCACTCCCTCCGTCCTAAAATTATTCTTCAGTTTGAATTTTTTACTTTTAGTTCATTTTTTATTAAAATTGAAAATTCAAAATGAAAAATAATTTCGAACAGAGCGACTATTTCGTTCAAATTTTAACGTCAAAGGTTTCGATTCCATTTGACTTTCACAATAACAATAACAATAACAAATTCAAAGAAGAAGAAGAAGAATGTAAAAGGACAGAGCATCTCAGAGTTTAGAAGCTTCGGCCGCAGAGAAAGATTCTTGGATCTTGGATTTCAAACAGTGGAAATGATATTAAATATAGAAAAAAAAAAATAGGTATTATTAATTCAAGATTCAATCGAAATAGGTTTGAATGTTGATGATTGTTTGATAATGGAACAGTAAAAAAATACTACTAATTAAATTGCACGACCATCCAAGTAAAAATGAAGAACACAAATTAAGAATGGGAGGGCGACGGCATGAAATGAGGAGCATTTCATGGTGAGATGTCCACATGGATTTGATGAAACTGCTGCATTTTTTCCGTGGACCAGTTCTTATTAGTTATTGTTTGTTTACTACTGGGCTCGGATCCAGCTGGGAGAAATATCGAATCGTCGAATCCGGCCCCATTTTGAGATCCCAAGATATAGAACAAGATGCCATTCCCTCACGCTTTCTTTCTTCTTCTTTTTTTTTTTTTTTTAATGTAATTTTTTTTAAAGAAAACTAACAGTGTACGATTAAAAACACTTCGTCAATGTGTTAAACATACTTCAAGTTTTTTAACCTTGGTGTCTGGAATATGGACAGTCACTTTGTGATTAAAGGATTTGTCGAGGAAGTTTTGTTTTCAATATAGTATCTAACTCAAATTAAAATTAGTATTTCCTGAATTAGTCAAGACAGCGATTTTGGACATCAAATGTGTAAAAATATACTCCCTCCGTCCCATAATTATTTTTCAGTTTTACTAAAATGAAAGATTTTATTTTTAGTCAAACTAAACTATATTTTACCTTGAACAACCGGATATACCCCTACATAAGTAATTGTTTAACCACAAAAATTTTATGGATAATGTTTTTTACTAAGGACAAATGTGTAACTTGATCCATAAAAAGTCAAATTTGAAAATAATTTTGGGACAAAATTTTTTGGGCAAAGTGGACAATAATTATGGGACGGAGGGAGTACAATGTAGAATTTAGGATCATTTATGCTTACGTCGGAGTAGTGTTGTAGTACCCCATAAATTAATTGCAAAAAATGACAACGTCCTAAGATGAAAGTGACCAAGTACGTGACCGATTTTGCATACTCACATGGCCATTGGCAAACCCTTCATTTTCGTGGCCATACCAATTCATAAACCTTGATTTGTAATCTTTTCAAATTTGCATTTATATAAATCAAACAGTGCTATAACCTTCTATTGGAGGAGTTTAGATCAGCGTGGAGTGTTTCAAGTACCAGCATTATTTAGTTAATTGAGGGAAATAGAGTTTCGGCTATGTAAAACTTGGCTTGAATAAGGATCAGTCGTGTCACTAAATATGTTCAGATAATCAACAAAATGATATCGTATAAACCAACTTGATATCCTAAGACAAAATTTAATAAACAACGGAATGGCATCGTGCAAACCAACTTGATAAGAATCGGGTCTTTTTCAAACTTATATAGGAATATTAAAGATCATCGAATTAATTTATGACCCATATCCAGAAAATATAGTAGTGAATTTAAGTAAGGAAAAAAAAAAAACTACGGTTACGAGGGTTTCAAAATGAATCAAAAGAACAAGTGCACCACAGGACCACAAACACATGCATTGGAATGGGAACTATGGCTATAGCAATTTGTTTCCCCACTGATGAGAAAGAATATTTGGAGTTGCTTTGTTTTTTTCTAATCTGTTAGCAGCTAAGGGACAGGAAAATGACTCAATATCCTCTTGCCCACTGCAGATTGTGGAGCAACAACTCAAAAAAATACACTGCTACTTTTGTAATTGTGATTTTCATCTGAAAAGAGGAACACCTTTTTGCAAGAGAAATTTTGTTTGGAAGCCATTGTTGGATCAATTTCATTACATTCATGCCCACATTATATCAGTTCAAGTTTCAGTAACATTTGCAAAATTTGCAATAAACGTTAAACAATCTCTCAAGTGGGTTCTAGTTCCAGTTAAACATTTAAAGGCATAAACTTATGAATGATTATTTTTGATATATGAATTTCCGGGTTTCTGATAATGTTGCAGATTCCGCAGGTGGGAGAGAAAGAGTAGTTGTACTACTACTACTGTCTGAAGATGAACTCTGGGCGGGAATGCAAAGATTAAGAACAGGACCACTTCTTTAGCCATTTCAGAAAAGTAACCATCAAACTGATAATGACTGCAATATTTTTCAAAAAAATAAATAAATAAATAAAATCATGTGCCATTCATCTCCATAGTCCATTATATAAAAAATGTTGATTTTCATCATTTCTTTTTTTTTTTTTTTTTGCTCCATCGTATTTGTAATTAATGGCATGTATCCTTTTACATGTCTCACATTCAATTCAAATGGTCCTAACTCCTAACGATTCAATCAACAACCATAAAAATTTGAAAAACCCAGTTTGTCGCTGTTAAATATTTTGATCCTCGCTGGCTGGAGCTGGGATATCACTCTCTGTCTATCTCTATTCGTTTCGAATTACCAATTTTGTAACTGTCTTTAATTTCCACCCAAAATAGAAACCCAAAAAAAACAAGAGGGCCTTTCATGAATTTCTGTGTTTTGATTTCTACTACTACTACTACTACAGTAGTATGACTTGATTATTGGGCACTATTTTCACAATACACAAAAAAGGACAAGGGCCTTCATAAGATTTTCCACCATCTTAATTAGTCAAAATTACTAGTCTCCTTGAATTGCTACATCTCATTTATAGCTAGTAGTATAGAAATAGTAGGAGTATATTATAACAGTGTTGAAAGCAATCTTTTTTTTTTTTTTGCTGAATTGCTCTGTTCAACAATTTTTTGCTGCTGCTAAGTACTAACATCGAGATGCCATTTCCCAACTAAAATAATGCATGTTTTGCATTGATGATTAAGACCAGAACCGCAGAAAATATACACACAACAACAACCCTTGGAACATAGATGGAAAAGGACAGTTTCAAACCCGGTTCATTAACAACATGGTAATTAAAACATCCATACATTTTATCAACAGACCAAAATTTGTTGTTAATTTTTTTCTAGAAGCTAATGTTAATTTATATTACAACGAATAAGATCAAATCACCCATCCTAAGAAGAGACAGAAGCTAATTGAATGTTGTTAGATGATGAAGATGAAGCATTATCCAAGGTAGCAGAACTGCTTTTTTCCATCTCATCATCAACTTCCACTAAAGAGACAGAAGGGCTGTCGGCGGTGTTGGTGGTGGCGGTGGAGCAAAAAGAGAGCGGAGAAGTGAAGGAATGGGTGGCAGAGCAAACAGAGCAATTAGGAAATTGATGGCGATCTTCAACATTAATGTCAGAAGAAGAAGAAGAAGAAGTAATTTCAGGGGAATAATAATCAGCATTAGCAAGACTAACCAAAAGGTCAACAAAAGCTCCAACAATGTATCCATGGTTGCTTTTCCCATTGACCCTGAGGTAACAGCTCAAAAGATCTTCCAAACATTCCCAATCCTTCAACCCATGAGCCTCCACCATCTCTTCCATGGATGCCCTGAAATCCGCAAACGGATCCCTTGAATCCACCGCCATAACCAGGCTTTCCTTGAACGGGAAATCATCATCCAACTTGGCCTCCTCCAGAATGGAGCTTGTTTCTCCGGGCTCAAAGAACAGCCTCTCCGACCTCACACCTTTAATAACTGTCTCCACCTCCTCCGATTCATCCTCTTCAATCACTTCAGGCAGAGATGAAAACCGCTCAGATTCACCCACCAAATCCACGGCTCCTCCGTCGACAAAAGCGGAATTCATGGTCTTGAAAATGTCATCGTCGATGTTGGCGGCTCGGAAAGAAACGGTTTTCGGGGTGCCGCAGGCCGGCCAGGGCCACGCAGAAGAAACCCATTGGTCTTTGGATTTGAAAGGGAATGGAAGCTTCATTGCCTTCTTCTTCTTGCTGCCCATCAAACCAAAGTTTGGACAGACGTTTTTTTTTTTGAATGAGGAATAATAATAATAATAATAATAATAATAATAATAATGAATATTTTTGGGGGGGCAGAGATGGATTTATTGGATGCTGGCAAAAAGGATTACTTAATGGTGTTACTACTACAAACAATTGAAAATTTTTGGTTTTATTTTTAATGTTTGGGAGATGTTGTCATGTGAGAATGGGGGAAGATGGGGAGTAAGGAGTTGGGCTGTCTTCGGAGTTCAGCATGCATTAAAGACCAAAACCGGGGGTTGGTTCAATTTTCAGAATTTTAAATATAAATAACAAAAGGAGTGGTACAAGTAGAAGAACACCAACAAACAACAGCAATGGAGGTTTTTCTTCTTCTTCTTCTTTTCCTTTTTCAATTGTTTGATTTGATCATTTGGGTAAGGAGGAACCAAAAAGTAGGGTCAAATTTGCTCGTGTGCTACTTGTAGTCATATATAAGTATATAATATAGCAGAGGCTAGCTCTATAATTCTGGGATTGAAATGAATACTCAAAAAATTTGAAGACAAAAAGTACCGGTAAGAACAATAAATGTAAAAGAAGGAAAAAAAAGCCGTTACAAAATTTATTATTAACGACTGGAGTTTGGTGCTTCACCAATTCATTACGAAATTTGCTGTTTGAAAAAATAAATAAATAAATAAAAAAGGATTTTACGTTTCAATTAGACGGCGGGGCCAGAAACCAGAATCAGATTTACCTAAATTAATGAGCAACGTGCTTGTCATTTTGTCGATGGCGAGAGAGGCGAGTAATTTTCAAATTTTTGTGTTGTTATTCTGGGGTTTAACGTGTTTACCCGCACCTTTTCATGGTGTTTGGCATTTTGTTTTCTGCCTAGATTTCGTAACGTTTTGGACCAACGAGGAGGACTTGATTTTTTTTTTTTTTTTCTTTTAAGAAAATATGATCTCAGTATAAAGTTGTTCGTGACAATATCCAATCCACCCATATGAATAATTGAAGGTAGTTAATGGTGTACTTCCAACTTCCTCCGACCCAATTTCATTTCACAGGAACAGTATAACAAATAAACATTCTTATTTTGAAACACGGGTATTTTATGTCACTTTACTCATTACAAAATGACGAATGGTCATACCAAAACGATTTCGAGCGGGAATGTAGAATTCAACCATTGGTCCGGAATTCGGAAATGAATGCCATCAATAAATACACCAAGCTTCAAAGTATTCCCAGCTCTGGGAAGAAGAGGCTGATTGTTGCAGAAATATTAGGAAGGATGGATTTAATGGGCCTTCACCTTTGCCATTATCTATGTTTTACTGCAACAGTGAAACTCTTGCATTTACTAAAGGTACTTACTTGTTGACTTGTGGTTGGTTTTGGTGGGAAGAGAAGCAGGCGTATTTTTTGTGCGGATCCTCTGTATTTGGTTTGTTTACAATTACCTCCCCTATAGATTGTGGAAATCACCAAAAGCACTCTAAAATCGACTACAAGAGTGGAATTATTATCAACATAACGTTGACGAGGCAAAGAAAGTTGTAGTATTGTAGAATCAACAACATAAAACAAGTTTTAGTGGCATTTTCATTTCTTCTACAATAATAGTTTGATTTGTTGTACTACTCATCATTATAATTTTATCCAATACTAATAAAGTAAAAGACTAAACTGTATAAATGGTCTTCTACATTTGTCCGAATTTAAATTTTGGTCACTACATCAATATGTATATGAATTGAGCCTTTACATTTGATTTTGAAATTTTTTTGGTCTCTTTTCAATGTTATGTCACCATTTCCGTCTTGATGACCGTTGACCCTACTAAGTCAGATGACACATATAAGATCAAAATAACAAATGTTTAAATGGTCCCCTACATTTGTCCGAATTTAAATTTTGGTCCCCTACATCAACATGTATATGGATTGAGCCTTTACATTTCATTTTGAAACTTTTTTTGGTCTCTTTTCACTGTTTCGTCACCATTTCCGTCTTGATGACCGTTGACCCTACCAAATCAGGGGTATTTTCGGAATGACACATATAAGATCAAAATGACAAATGTTTTTATAATAAAATAGAATAAAATATTAAAAATTATTATTTTATAATAAAAAATTAAATAATTTAAAAATAAAAAAAAATTAAAATGATTTCAAATTTCAAATTTCAAAATTTTTTTTCACTTCCCACCTTTGTGGGTCCCACATGCCAGTCAATTCCCCCCTCCCCTTTTTTTGCTACAGTAAAAAAAATCAAAATTAAAAAATAAACTTACCTTCACCCGTCAAAATTAAAAAGCAAAAAAAAGACGGGTGAAGGTAAGTTTGTTTTTTAATTTTAATTTTTTTTTACTGTAACAAAAAAAGGGGGGAAATTGACTAGCATGTGGGAGCCACAAAGGTGGGAAGTGAAAAAAAAAATTGAAATTTGAAATTTGAAATTTGAAATCATTTTAATTTTTTATTTTTAAATTATTTAATTTTTTATTATAAAATAATAATTTTTAATATTTTATTCTATTTTATTATAAAAACATTTGTTATTTTGATCTTATATGTGTCATTCCGGTAGAGTCACGGTCATCAAAACGGAAATGGTGACGGAATAGTGAAAAGAGACAAAAAAAGTTTCGAAATGAAATGTAAATGCTTAATCTATATACATATTGATGTAAGGGACCAAAATTTAACTTCGGATAAATGTAGGGGACCATTTAAACATTTGTTATTTTGATCTTATACGTGTCATTCTGAAAATACCCCTTACTTGGTAGGGTCAACGGTCATCAAGACGAAAATGGTGATGGAACAGTGAAAAGAGACCAAAAAAGTTTCAAAATGAAATGTAAAGGCTCAATCCATATACATGTTGATGTAGGGGACCAAAATTTAAATTCGGACAAATGTAAGGGATCATTTATACAGTTTAATCTAAAGAAAAATAATGATAAATAAACAGTGCTGAAAGTCTACAGATCACATGCTGTCATATGTGATTCTGGCGGGTAGATAGAGAAATTGTAATCAAAATTCCAAGCACCAAAGAGTGCGCCGGCATAGGACCCTCGTGATATTCTTATTCTTCGTTTGTAGTTGTTCAATTTTTGTTAAGATGTTCTCTACAATCCAAAACTTAGAACTGAGCTGTGGAGAAATTTATGGTATAGTATGCGTAAGGAAGGCAATATCCCTGATATCCCCGTCAGCCAACTCATCACTTTGTAGTTTTTCAATCAATGCCTTTATTTCATCATTTGTACTTACCTCCTCCAATTGGTGGTACGATACAATCACAAATTAACCCATCAGTCACAAAAATTGTACTCCCTCCGTCCCATAATTATTGTTCAGTTTGAGTTTTCATTTTTAGTTTAAATTGTACTAAAAGTAAAATCTCAAACTGGACAATAATTTTAGGATAGAGGGAGAATCTCAGTTTATATAACCTTATAACCTGAAAATTGTACTGGCTGATCAGATTCTCTCTAATCCAATCCTCCATCTCATGTTATCAGCCACATCATGTTTAAAACTTAAAACCATTATAATATGATGACCAGAGGACAAAAGAATTTTCACTTTTAATTCAAATTATCTAAAAGCGAAATCTCATACTTGACAATAATTTTGGAACGAAGAGAGTAAATGACTAAAAAAAGTCAAGAACAAAAATGAAAAAAAATTACTCCTAATATCCTAGAAAAATAGACTATATGATTATACTACTTTTGTTCTTCAGCTAGTAATATGAGGTATGGCTTTTTTTTTTTCTTGCAAGTCACATGACTTTTCTTCTTACCTTTAATATGTTTTGAACAAGATTGCAAAAGTAGACATATGCTCAGTATAAAAATTGGCTAAATAATGTACGTTTAAGTATGGACCATTCAATACTCAAGCCAAGCCCCAACTAATAGATTGGACTTCAAGTGTAAATTTTTTGCCACACAACCATGAAATTCTTTTCTAACCGAACTGTCCGGCCGAATCCAATATATTTTTTTTATTAGGCAATAGAATGTACTTGGATCAATCCTAGCAGTGCCCAATACTGTCGACCTAGAGATGGCCATAACAGTCAGGCTCAGGCCCAAAACTAGCTGGCTCTCAGGCCAATATATTTCCCTGATGCACGGCGTGGAAAACCACCATTCACCGATAATAACGTTTCCTATAATCTATAGGATGAATTTGAGAGACCTGGAACCCAAGTTTGTTTAGACCACGAAGGGAAAATCTTTAATTAAAACATTAAAATTGTACAGAAATGGAGGCAGTAGAAAATTAATTGCAGAGAATTTTCGAACAGTCTTTGTCCAGGAGGCAGGAACAAACATCCAATTTTGACCATTGGTACGGTTCACCAAAGGGACATCATAGATAGCATAAAGCAAACAACATTTTAGTCAACACACCATCCAATCCACACAAATTAAAAGAAGGGAGACCATTTACTATTAAATAAGTTCATTCCATCAATCAAAATTTCAATATTGGAGGGGAAATGTTTATTAACATGTATGTGCATCTAATCAAATCACACTCAAAAGCTCTCGAGATCAAAATAGCTGCTAGATGCATACAATGAGAGCAACAATCAACTTAACAAGTAACCAACTCTAAAAGAGTGATCAAATAAGATTACTTATCCAATCTAGATCAATATTAACAAACAGATAGAAAAGCAACTATTTACATGAATAGGGTTGAGCTGAGTACTACAGAACCTGCATGCTCACAGTCCTTTAAACTGAGTCTTATGAACCGCCAATCTTGGCAGCATGTTCAAGACATCCAGAGCATCAAAACAGAAACATAAATGTATTGTCATTACATTTAGTTCTACCACAGATTCAAAAAGGAAAAACTAACTACACCAGCTAAAGTAAAGATTTTAAAAAGAAGCAGAGTCTCAAACATTTTCGACGTGGACAACATGAGTATGCTGAAGAGCATCAAACTGCCCTATCATATGTAGCCACCAATCCCGCAAGTCAGCTACATAGATCATACGTAGCCATCAATCTCAGTTGATGGTATAAAAACAAACATAAAACGCCCTATTGGAAGGACTTTAATCAAGACTACCAGTAACATCAAACATGATATTTCTGCTGCTGAGTTCAGTATCAAAATACCAGAGGCTACAATTGGTTTAAAGGAAAATAACAACCAAGAGTCTAAGATCATATTTTGCCCTCCTGAGATGTGTTTACGTGCCTCATGGGATGAAAGAGGAGAACAAAAACATCTGCCAGTTGAGGAATACAGCAAATATAAATAAACAAAGATGACCAAAATTTAATTTACTAACGTATAAGCATAATTCCTCTAAAATTGGTAGGTCCTTTGAGCTCTTGTCTTCGCGTCTTTGTATACATGTGAAGCAAATTTTTACTTCATCAAACACAAAAACGCCGAATGACTTGGCGGGGCTGTAACCTAGATCAATCATACACTAACAGAACACAAGAAATGGACCCTATTGGAAGGAAAATGAAGACTACCAGCAACATCAAACATGATATTTGAAGTTCTGCTGCTGAGTTCGGTATCAAATACCAGAAGCTACAATTGGTTTAGAGGAAAATAACAATCAAGAGTCTATGATCACATTTTGCCCTCCTGAGATGTGTTTACGTGCCTCATGGGATGAAAGAGGAGAACAAAAACATCTGCCAGTTGAGGAATACAGCAAATATAAATAAACAAAGATGACCAAAATTTAATTTACCAACATATAAGCATAATTCCTCTAAAATGGGTAGGTCCTTTGAGCTCTTGTCTTCGCGTCTTTGTATACATGTGAAGCAAATTTTTACCTCATCAAACACAAAAACGCCGAATGACTTGGCGGGGCTGTAACCTAGATCAATCATACACTAACAGAACACAAGAAATGGACCCTATTGGAAGGAAAATGAAGACTACCAGCAACATCAAACATGATATTTGAAGTTCTGCTGCTGAGTTCAGTATCAAATACCAGAAGCTACAATTGGTTTAGAGGAAAAAAACAACCAAGAGTCTATGATCACATTTTGCCCTCCTGAGATGTGTTTGCGTGCCTCATGGGATGAAAGAGGAGAACAAAAAAACATCCAACAGTTGAGGAATACAGCAAAAATCTATAAACAGAGATGTCCAAAATTCATTTAATAATGTTTAAGCATAATTCCTCTAAAATGGGTAGGTCCTTTGAGCTCTTGTCTTCACGTCTATGTGCGTATATTTGAAGCAAATTTTTACATCATCAAACACAAAAACGCTGAATGACTTGGCGGGGCTTTAACCTAGATCAATCAAACGCTAACAGAACACAAGAAATGGAAATGCAAAAACCAGCCTTGCAAAATTTCAGTATGTACATGAACTGCCCTTAAATAACATGACCCTATACAATCCACAGCCCCAAACACATAGACAACTATCCCTTTAATCAATTATGCTCTTAAATGTTCAAAGAGAGCATACAATCACTACACTATGCACATTTTCAGGCAAATAAAATTTTAAAAATGGGCTTTCTTTTAAACAGATTGGAACAAACTGGAATACTACTTCTGCCATTTAACTGATAAGATTGTACAAATTCAAAGAAGAATTTGAAAGGTTAAAAGAAAAATGCACTCTACATTGACATGAAGAGCTGCTGGCTACTAAGAAACAGAAGATTTGACCTCCAACCCAAACAGAACGCCGGCATATTTAACCGGCAGTCCCTCACCGCCACAAAAAAACACCTCCTTAATCCTCTGAAACGAGTGCCATGTGAGCAGGCTATCTGATCCTGACTGGTGCGATTTTCCAGCAGCCCTGGCAACCTCTAGGGTGCTTGACATCCGGTCCAACCCACCGTGAAGGCCGTTACAGAACTGCATGATGTGCTTCAAGTCATAAACCCTGTCCCCAAAGAACACTCTGAGCAGGTCCATGAAATCCTCAAGTGTATCAGGCAGGACCCGGCCGGTTAGAGCCTTGATCAGGTACCCGAAATCGTACGCACTGTGGAAGGTGACGTAGGACACGTTATCGTTGCAAACCAGACCGGAAGACATCATATACTCGGCGAATCGAGATATCTCCACACCGTCCGACCGGGTCTTATCGAAATCGATGCCGGCGTGGCGCAAGAGGTCGATGGAACCCGGAGCGTACTGGTCACGCGCGACATCGAAATCGGAGAGGTTAAACTCCCAGATGTAGCAGTAATCAGGGGAGCCTAGATCGGGGAAGTTGCCTTGGGAATCGGAGAGGGTGATGCCGACTTGAATCAGCTTGAGAGCGTCAACGTTCAACTTGAGAGCCTTGTAATTCTCGATGGGGTTGCCTTTACGAGGATCGTGTCGGTGGAGAACGCCAGGGAACTCGGTGTCCATTGAGATGTATGGGAACCGGTCGATGACGCTGCGGATGAAATCGAACTCGGACACTAGGTTACTGGACCAGACCGAACGGATCTGGATAGACTTGGGTTTTTTAACTTTGTCTGAGGCCGCCGACGCCGTGGGCGGCGATGGTGGTGGTTGCGGTGGTGGAGATGATGAAGACATGAAAGATCTGAGAGCTCCAGATCGCGGTGGTGCGTTTTTCTCCCTTTTTTTATTTTCAGTTAAATAATTTAATTTTATTCTTTTTTAATTTTTTGTTAATAAGGTGGCGGTGGTGGGGAGGAAGATGGTGATGGGTTGGAGGGAGTTAGGGTATTGAAGAAAACGAAGGTAATATAGACTGTGATAGAAAATAACATATGAGAAAGAGAGAGAGGATGTAGACGACGTGGACCAGTGGAGTAAAAGAAAACAGATGATTGATTGAGGTGTAACGTCAGATTGTGGGACCCTTCTGTAATACCTTTTTTGGGATTTGAACAATTTCGCAAATTCCTCATTTATCAAAGATTTGTGTAATAAGGTGGTGAGAAATAAATGCGTTAAGTTGAATCTGGCGAAATAAATTCGTTTACAATAATTAGACAACCTATTTTATTTTATTTTATTTTTGGAGATAAATAAAATCAGATTTTTTCATATATATATATATATATAATACTAATAACTTACACAGATTTATTTTCCTTCCTTGATATTTGATATTTGAGTGGATCTAAAAGAAATCTATACTACTTAATTAAAGCAGCAAACAAAAAAAACATGTATCAACACTACAATGAAAATTTTCCCGCCAAAAACCATTTTCAGTTTAAATCATTTTTGACAAGTGTCACTCTAACTAATCAGAAAAAAAAAGATAGAATAGATAAATACATAAATCCCTTAATTATAGCTACATAAAAATCTCTTAATTATAGGTATATACTAATCTTTTAAAATAATAATATTTAATTAATAAAATCAAATGTAAGGAAATCCCCTTAAATTAAGTGAAACACAATAATGTCTTCTCAATCCCCAATTTCAAAGAATCTCTTCCATTCCGCTCATCTCTCACACCCGGGCCTTTAAATCAATTACTTAAAATCTGACATCAATTATCAATTCATCTCTTTCTACAACAGAGACAAAATAAGCTGTCATGAAAGAAATTTGATTTTTTAAGGATGATTTTTTTTTTATTTTCTGTTATAGATATTGGTTTATGATTTACGTAAACCCGGGCATAAGTTAACTGTTGTAAATTAAATGTTATAAATCTGGACATAGATTTATGTAAAATAACTCACTTTATGTCCTTTCAATCGATTTTTTATTCTTCTATTTTTTTTTATTCTTTTAAGAATGATTTGTATTTTTTATTTAATCGATTTAAAAATACAGGCAGCACCCCGAACATTCGCCCGGAGCAAGCATCTAGTTATTATTGTACATAAATACGACAATATTTATTTCATTTATTTTTTACAACTTTTTTATTATTTTTGTTGCACTAAATGAGGCTTTCACGCCTAAACATTTAAATTAATAGATTGTCAGAATATGCAACCCCTATCAAAATCAAATTTCAACTACCACTATTAAACAGCTTATAGTAGAATCTCTAGCGTGGTAAACTCTCGTACTAATGAACCTACATAATCAATTGCGGAATTCTTATTAACACACCGTCATTACTTTTTTATGGCTATATTATATGCAAAGAGACGTTTAAGCATCTCTAACCATTGCAACCATTGCACTATAATTTACACCAAATTTAGTGCACTAATGAAATATTCTAAGCATCTTTTTACATCAAAGTTTTGTACACTCTAACTTGATGCACTAAAATGTCTATCTATTAAATGTTTTAGTTTAAATTTTATTTTTTAGTTAATTGAAATAATGTAATTTTGTGATAATGCTGTAAAATTTGTTTCTTATAATCGTTTTTTATTTGATTGTAAAAGTATCAAATTTTTTTTACTGATTTTTCATACTCAATTTTAATAATAACTAAAAATTATTTTTAAAAAAAAATAAAAATTTATATTAAATATGGGTCTTATTTTGTAGATCTCAACAAAATATTTAATATAGTATAATTTTTATAACATAATTTGTTCCACAAGTTTAATTGGGTAGCATATATATTTTTAGATCTAAATAAAAAGATAGTGCACTAAAAATAGTGTAATAGACAATTTACACCAAATTTGGTGTAACAATATTCACTGCACCAAAATAATGTAGTAATTTATTGTATTCGTTGGAGTGAAAACTTTACACCAAAACACCAAATTTAGTATTTTGATGTCTTGGTTGGAGATACTCTTAGGAAATGAGTTTAACCATTCAATTCTATGAATCTCTTTTATTTCTTGAAAAAGTGAGTCCTATAATTTTATATGATAATAAATGTTGTATATATATATATATACGTATATATTTTAATAATAGTTATAATAAGTTAATAATTTTTTACATATATATATTTTTCCGTGGAGAATAGTTATAATATTTACAACAGTGATGATAATAGTTATAATAAGTTAATAATTTTCTGACAACCCATAATAATTTTAGTACTAATATGTTTGGACAAATTTGAGAGAAAATTACGTTACAATGGAGAGAGTCCCACGGATCAAACTTCCCATTTCTCGTTAGCTGCTTACTCCATGTTCCAAATTCCAAATGAAAAAGACCCACGACATTGTCCCTAGTCATATTTTGTTCGGAGCAATCAGTGGATTTGTCCCCAGTTGAACATATATGATTGACAAGAAGAACTCGAGAAGTATTAGTAAGAACGACTTTGCGTCGCCCCTCATCTTATTGAATTTGAAATGTGAGAATCAAAGAATAACTTTTAGACGACGATTGAGAAAAATAATGGGCCTTTTCAAAAAAAAAGGAAAAGAAAAATAATAGGAGTATTTTCTTCAACATTAAAGACAAGAAAACCGGTTCTTTTTTTTTTAACGACCAAAAAAAATTGAAAAAGGAGATAAATGATCTTATATTGTGAAATTTAACGGGAAAACACGTGATTAAATACTACTGTCTCCCAAAATTTTTGTCCAGTCTTTTTTCTTTATTTTCTTTTATTGCTTATTGAATTGCAGAATCGCGGTTACCGCCTTTACCCAATCACCAAGCAAAAGTGACTCAGAAGGTTGGAGTTACATGAATGAGAACAATGCACAAAATCAGTAGGAGTCAACGGTGTGAGTCTATCACACATCAGAATGACTTGACAGCTGAGCTGAGCCACCGTAGTGTACTGCGGCCGCCGCTCCTCAATTTCATACCGTAACAGTTACCTGTTACCCCTCCTTGGTTTTTTTTTTTTTTCCTCCTCCATATCTCATTGTAGTTCATTTTTTCGTTCTCTGCCTTTTTTTTTTCTTTTTATAAAAAAATCCTTTTGAAAAGTGAAAAAGCCTCGAAACCGACAGAGACAAGAAATGATTACGAAGAGTTATTGAGATTCTTGAGAACTTGAGATTCTAAAAACGACGTGAAGCGCACACTGTTCACGTTTAATTTATCCGATAAAAGCTTTCTCACACTAAAACGATAAAGAATTAGTTACGTGAAGGACGCGAGGAATGCGGCTTTTAGAAAATGGTTAAGCAAAGCAAAAGCAACACGCCTACACTTCCCCATTAATGAAAACCCATTTAGATTCCAAGCTGCGTTTTCTAGGGGCTTACCAGAGTTCAGAGCCAGAACAAGGGACTTTGGTGGGGGCTTGGTTTCTCTCTATAATATACTCCTACATAAAATAACAACAGAAATCTGATAGTTTCCTACTGAACTTTGGCTAGTTTTGTCTTACACATCGGTGCACATGACTTATTTGCTACCTCATAAGAACAGAGGGCCAACATCGTCGATTAAGCAATCCCTGCTCCTTTTACCTAGGTCTTTCTAGTCGGCATTCATCCTCCTGTCGCAATTCAATGCTCATAACAAGCTACAAGCTCCATGGCATGCCAATCAAATCGTATACACAAACTTAATTTCATAGGCAAAAGGAAATGTCACCCTGAGATTTATGAACAGTCATCTGAGAATCTGCAACAACTAACTAGAAAGGCCAATGATTTGCGCAACTTGTAAACCCAAGTAAGATCAGATATGTTGCAGTCATACAGCAATAAGTCGGGATATATTAGGGCTGTGCTTACTTTCCCAAACAAGCATGACCACAGCAGAATCGGGCACAGTGAATTGACACTTATGGAGCAACAAAAGAAGACTCGTTCAATGAAGTATTCTATTTCGCACACATTAACGACCCCATTAAACAAACAACATCCAGTAGTGATAAATAAACATGACAGTTGAAACTAATTAATAGGATTGGAGGGTCAAAAGAAGAGTTTCTTGAGACATGTCCCCCGTAGACTCACCAAAGCATTACAAGCTATAGGATTTGCACATGGTCAGGAAGACCCACAGAACTTTGACGCTAAAAATAGGTTCCTTCTGGTGGCTGGACCAGCTTACGGTTGTGTGGTGCAGCCATCTCTTTCTTGAGCTGCACTAGGATGTCTTCCATTGTATATTCTCGTTGCCAATTGGCTAAGAGTCCAAACTTTTTAGGTTCCACCTGAACCAATCCACAGAATTGTAATCATCAGATATTGTTCAATATATATAAAATAAAACATATTACAGCAAATGCAGGGAGGACATTACATGTTAAAACCACATTACATGGTAATGAAGACTACGACTGGAACTGAGAGAGGAATGTTTAGATATCAAATATGCCAACCTTACTCAGTGGTCCTTTATTATTTAACTTTTTTGTGCTTCCACTTCAACTTGCAATATGCCATTTACAGAACTTGCTCACTCAATGGCTCCCATGTAAAAATGAGAATCACATTCCAACTAATGCCACGTTATTATCTCAAAGATGCTTATATTTATGCACTTTCCACATGCAATAAGGGATTGGGACACTTTCCACACATAAGCTTCTATTCTGCAAAACTTTTTATCAGCTATAGTCAAGACACATGTTTTATTACCCAGGTGTTTAAGCATTCAAGAAATCAGTCTTTTTTTCATCTCATTTTATGGGGAATGTAAACCAAATGACGGTGAAAAAAATGACTCCTACGTGAGTAATTAGTTGAGAAGATCAACAAGACAAATCATGCCAACACACAGGCAACACAATATCATATTTTCTATCATTGTTATTTTCACATTTCAACACCAAAACCAGGAAAAGAAGACACATCAATCACAGCCAAAGTAAATATTTTATACCACTCCAGTTTCATGATTAACACATGTCATGTTGATCCGAGAATGAAAGCGAACACTAGGTGGCTTCTCAGGGTAATCCTTGTCGCAGAAGAGTTTCAACTGATAGATGCGACCTTCATGAACGGACTGAAAAGGAAACACAACATCATTAAGATAATTTGCCAAGATGCCTCCAAAAGTTGTAAACAGGCATACCAAAATAACAAGAACTAAGAAGAAACAACTTTTCATTCTTCGAACAAGACGCAACTCATAGACAAATAGAGAGGTCCAAAAGCACACATTCAAATAGAATTAAAACAAAAGGAAGATGATAGCAAGGAAATATCAAGACGTTAGAACTGGAGCTAAATGCCTTTAAAATTTAAATTTTGTTTTAAGGCTAAATCTGATGTTTTACACATCTCTTTCTACAGCTACATCAGCCCTAAACCAAGAAATGCTTAAATGAAGACCCAATTCTGTAAAAACTACAATTGCGCAATCAGATTCAACCATTTTAAACATACTCTGATCTGATTGAGCAAATTCTACAATACAATGCACAAACACATAAAGAAAAAAGGAAGCTCAGCCACTAAAATGAAAATTTGCTTACGTTGTGAGGGCCTATAATGGTGCCAGTCCAAGAACGCATGTAAATATCATCTCCATCATCCATCCCATAGCTTACAGTACCATCTCCAATACCCTTTTCCCCACGTTCGAGTTCCTCCAACAATCTGAAGTTTCTAGGAACTGCAAATTAAAACATCAAAAGTTGAGACTATAATTTGCTGCATTGTCACATTACGGCGCAACAATAACCAAAAAGAAAAACTACAATTATGCCAAACATAATCAAGAAAAGGAAGCCACAAAGAATCCATCATAAAGATGGCAACTAAGGCCACCCTTGCTCATCCAGAATTCATGTTGGCAAATATGGACCTTGATCAGCAAATTAGTGTCATTCTCATGGTGATGCGATGGTTAATAAATAACAAAGAGCAGAATAAAAATTTGGTGCTTGACAAAAGCAGCTGAAATTGTAAAAGTGTCGTAAAAGTTGAGCAGCTCAGTTAAAGACCTTCATATGCAAACCAAACAATGAAGCACTTAGAGCAGCTCTAGCCCATTGCAGGCACCCAGAGATTGAAGTGTACACAAACAATGGTGAATCTACAAGTTTTAGCAAGGCAATGATAGGGGGGAAAAAAAAATTTTTTTGGGGGAACGGTTACCATGGATCATCGCAAACTTCATCGCAAACTTTAAATGAAACTAAAGACGTTGACAAGAGCAGAGTGCTTCAATTACATAACATCTTAACTCGTTCAACATCTAATTAGCAAGAGAAGTACAATCATCATCAGTTGGATATATAGCATATTACACCAGCAAAATGTAACAGATAGTATAATAAATGGCAGAATTAAGACATACAAATCATACTTCTGAAAATACATAAAAGCATATGCCAAAAACCTGACCCATCTCATAAGGCAGTTAAGTAACTAATTCATAAGCTAAAACTGCAATAACAGGAGGAAAAAAAAAAGGGACAGCCCACAGGCATAACAATGACTCCTAAAGAAAAATAGCCAAGAAAATACAAACACATCCAGGTAAGATCTCCGCCAAAAATAATCACAATTCCACTTTTCATTTGCATCAATTATATTTACAAAAAAAAAAAAGAAAGAAAAAGAAGAAAACCCAGCTAATAACGTATAAACATCAAACCCACATCTAAAACGAACGACCAGTAATCAGATTTGAAAAAAATAATTTGAAAAGCACAAACATTCAAGATAAAGCAAGAATCAGTTCGAAACGGGAAAAGGAACAGCTCACCGACGACACTGGATCCTCCCGAGCCAAGCGTCATGAGTGGAAGAAGATTATGAGGGTTTTGGAGTCTGATGAATTTAGAGATCGACTGGATTGATCGATCGATCGATCGGCAGCCCGAGAAGGAGGAGGAGGAGGAGGAGGCGAGAGACGGATGTCAGATAGCGTAGAATCAGCAAACCAATTGAGAATCTAATACTACTTACTTTATAGACATCATGACGCTACGGAACGTCGGGGACCTACTTTATTATTAACGATGGAAATACAATTTCATATCTTTTTATATTGGCTTTTTTACATAAGTCCCCCGCTTTAGTATTATACTACTATAATTAATTTGTTTTTTACCCCCTCATACGCCTACTAATAATCATTATGAAAGTTTTTATTTTAACAAAAAAACGATTAAGGAGATCCTTGTTAATCAGTATCATTAATAACCAAATCCGGTAAAAGGAAGATTTGACTTTTTGCTCGCAATACATTCATTGGCCTTCTAAGTTTTTCGAGTTATATGTGATTTGGCTAGTCGAAATAGGACTCTACAAATTAGTCATATTTTTTGGGAGTCAAATTTTGCATTAGTTATTTAGCATTATAGTAAGTAGTTACCCGGTACGTTTGCATTGGGTGGATAATCCGTCTCCTGGTGTAAAGCCATGGTTAGAGCATAATGTAATCGGTGTCTACCATCCGCAAAATATTTTAATTTAAGTTTGTTAGGTTATAACCTCCTACTTTGTACTAAAAAAAAGTTAGCCAATATGCTCGTTATTTTTAAAACTAAAGTTTATAAAATTAATTACTAAATCTGAAATTTCAAACTAGTAATATTATGGAATTGCTAGAGTATTACGATCATTTACTCTTTTTTTTAATCATATCATTACACATAGAGTAAGTTTACTATTTCAAAATTTGATTGTTTAAGAAAATAGATCAATAAATTTTTAAATTACGCATCCTTTATATTATGATTATATTTTTATTTTTAAGATAAATTATACTTAAAATTTTCTCCATCCGTCCCATAATTATTGTTCAGTTTGAGTTTTCATTTCTAGTTCAAATTGTACTAAAAGTGAAATTTCAAACCGGACAATAATTATAAGACAAAGGAAGTAATATTTTAAGACGGAAGAGTAACAGTAATGTTTGATTTAATTATTGTGCTGCGCACTAAAAAAGGCAGGACCCAACTCAAAATAATTATTCCATAACACCGGGAAATAAAGAAAAGTTCCATATACACTAAAAGAATTTTTTTTTTTTTAAAGAAAAACACACACACACACACACAGAAATTAAGGGGGAAAAAAGGCAGGGTAAAAAGTTGCTTTACGGTTTCACTTGTGGAGAGTAGAGGAGGCGGCCAATTAGAATCAAAGGGTATCAAGCGACGAAAGTCAGAGCGTCAAGAACAGGCGGAGCAGGAGGAGGAGGGGCGGAGCTGAAGAGACGACAAAGAAGAATTCAACTGAAACCTCCTCGCCAGTCAGGTTTTATCACATTTTCGTTTCTTCCTCTCTTTTGGTCTTCTTTTTTAAGAAAATGCACTAATCGAATAAGTTGTAAGGGTGATGAATTTTTCATAGGTAAAAAAAGGGTTTTTCATACTACCATCATTTTTTTTATCAGAGTTATTCACTTGTTCTGGATGTCTATTCAACTCCGTGTATGTGGTATCCAGCGTTTTTTGCTGTCTTTTTGATAAATTAATGTTGTGGGAATAATTTCTTCCTACATTAGTAGACATTTGTCCATCTCGAAGATTTTAATTCATTTTTTGATGTTGGGATACTGTTTTTGCTCATCTTTGTTGATTGATGTCTTCCTTCCCGACGCAATGAACCACTAGAATGCAAGGGAATAATGGAATAAGATCCCTGATCATCTACCTATAAATGTAACTAGAGGTATCAGGAACTGAACCTAATTATGGTCTATTGTTTCTACGGTTCTTTATATTGCTCATTTAGAGATGTTGAGGATTGGACTTGTTCCTTATTATGCTCATTTAATTGCTATAAAATCGAAGGGATTTGTGTTACGTTCGTATTCTATAATGTATTAGAGCTGAAATCAACTCATTGTTGTTATCTTTGGTAGTTCATCATATTTAGATTCTCATTGTTTAATTCGGCGAACATTAATTGTTTGTGTGTGCGACTTTACTTCTTTTCTTGTTCTTCCTTTCTTTTGGGGTGTTGTTCATGAAGTGTACTTTATTGCATCAAATTCGAATCTTGATGGATTGCTTTTTTTTTTTTAGCTCCTGTAGGAGTAGTGATTCTTGGTTTGTGTTTTGTTGTGGCAGATGTCTCTGCATCTTTAGATTCTGAATGTTTAATTCGGCGAACATTGATTGTTTGTGTGTGCAACTTTAATTCTTTTCTTGTTCTTCCTATCTTTTGGGGCAGGGTTCATGAAGTGTACTTTATTGCATCGAATTCGAATCTTGATGATTTGCTTTTTTATTTTTAGCTCCTGTAGGAGTGGTGATTCTTGGTTTGTGCACAGGTTTGTGGTTTGTTGTTGCGGATGTCTCTGCATCTAGGAAATTTATCATCCCGAGTTCGAAGACATGAACTTGAACGAATTTTCCAACGTTTTGGAAGGTGTACTGTGCAAATAAAAGACAAGTTCGGCTTTGTTGTTTATGAATACCCGTCAAATGCTGAAAAAGCTTTGGGAGCACTACGGGGCACGAGGATATGTGGAGAAAGAATCACCCTTTCCTGGTCCAAGAAGCAGCCGCAACCTCCTCAAAGCTATTTTAGAAGGGGGAGGACGTACGAGCAACCACAGGGAAGGCACTTTCCAAATGCTCGACAAGGTCATAATAATAATTTCAGGAAAGCTGATATTCCTCCTGACCTGATTGATGGACCAAAAGCTGAAGGCATGGAAGGGTGTGCAGGAGAAAAAGGTCATGACTATGTTCAGTATATGTCTGAAAAAGGTGGTTACACTGAAGCAAATAACTTAGAGAATGATACCTGGGAGGAGAAAGTTTTTGCAAATAATTTATCGAACGGACAGGATTTCGATCGATATGAACCTTGCCTTGATGATGACATGTACTCGCAACAGGGTTTTCGTGAGTCCACCCATCAAGATTGTTCACCAACTGCAAGGAAGTCTGAAGGAAAAACAGAAATGGAGCAGGTTCCCGAGGCGACTTTGGAGCAATCTAACTATTTAAAATGTCGGCACTTTGGTGAACGTATAAATGATTATCAAGAAAAGAAGGGGAGCAGTAAAGAGCATCAACCCTCGGACGAAAAACAGTTGAAGAAATGTAAAGTCCCTGGTTCATCTTCCATTCATTCTGATAAAACGGCATCTGGATCTCAGGCACCATCCAAGTCGATAAAATCTTTGCCGGGCCCGCATACATGTTTAAGATCTAAATCAACGGCCTCAAGAAAACAGTCATTGTCTTCTAGTTCAAGGTCTGGTTCAATGTCAAGTCGTCATAGGATCACGGAGAATGTGTCTCAGCAGCTTTCAAGGTCAAGTTCTCCTACGTCCTTAGCATTATCTGATACACTTGATCGGCCCCCAAATAAGATGCAGATAAATCACGATGATATGGTCTGTTCTTCTCTCGGTGAACTGAAGGAGGGTTCTCTTCATGTGGACAATGATACTTCAAGTGCACCTGTAAGACCTGCAGTTTATGAGAAGAACTCTCACTCTTCTGGAGGGAATAACAGACATGCTATTGTAGGAAATGTGACTGAGATGAAGAGATCCAGTTTGACCCAGTCGGAGGACAGGAGTCAGGATCCAGGGACTTATTCTGCAAGGGCACTGACAAAGACAAAGGAATTGGAAATAATGAGAGAAGAAACAGAGGCTTCACAAAGGTCCACTGTTGCCAGTTTGATGAACATATCTTCCGAGGAGGTGTGCAAGGTTCTTAAGAACTGCAGTCAGAAGTACTGTAATGCGATTGAAGGAGATTTATCTCCACGCACGTACTTTGGTTGTGGTCGCTTATGGCCTTGGGAAGTTATTTACTATAGGAGGCTTAAGAAAGGACCAATATCAAAGGAAAACTATGCTCGAAGGCTCTTTCAGAACCAACAATTTGGGATTGTTGATAAATACATCAGAAGTAGCAGTGGATGGGGAGAACTGGCTAATGAAAATCGTTGACCTCGTTGCTGATTTAACAGGTGCTCTGATGCTGCTTGTCTTCGGATGTTTTCATAGTATAGTGGGACCAGGTACTTACAATGGTTTTTAATTTCAGAGTGGTAATGAACATGTTAAAATATACATATGAGGTCTCGCATTTTCTGAGAATGTGATTTGTTCTATTAGTTTACCACAGGTAGGATCTAACATGTTCTTATCATAGCCTTAAATCTTTTAGATGCAACTGTACCCTTTTGGACTGGTGTAGGCAATTTAATACACATGTTTATGAAAGCGACCAACTCTTGTTACATGTTCTTGTCTCCATTTTAGGAAATTTATCCTTGTTGTGGTAAGTTATCAGTTGGATTTTTAAAAGTGCATTTCAAATTCTGGCATATTTCGTATATTGTACAGTTTTCATTAACCTTTTAAATACAAAGCGTGGAGTACATTTGCCCCCTTATTGAGTATCTTTACCTCACGTCCTCTCCTTTAGTAACTTCTGTTGACAATGTGCTTGTCTGCTCTCCGAAATATTTTTCTCTTTTGGGAATCTTTCATGAAAAATCTTATGCATATGAAATATGAAGAAGTTTAAACAACTACACCAACCCCCTCTCCCACATAAACAAGAAAGAAAAGGAAAGAAAAAAAAGAATAGAATATGAAGAAGTTGATGTAGAGCAGTGGCGGTTGGGTATGCATTTTCAATCTTTGGTTCTGTTAGTATTTCGTTGATCGTCTGGAAGTTCTGTCAAATTATTATAAAAAACGAGGAACATTGTTTTATTCCAACCTTTGTCCTTGTTGCTAAAACATTCAAGAAGTTTTTTCTAGTTGATGTTAAGCTGTGTTAAAATGGATATTGTTTTGATCTGATGCAGTTGGGTAAAACTCGAATATATGGCTTTTGGATGCATAAATCAACAGATGTGAAATTTTCCCCCATTTATCAGTAAAAGTGGAAAACCATATTTATCCATTTTTAGTGCTATGTATGCATTGTGCATTTTATTACAGAGCCTGGAATCTGGAATTTTCGGAGTTTAATAACTGAAGAATGATGAGTTTTACGATTGAGATTGGTGTTTGGATGAACATGATGCAATTTCTTTCATAGTTTGGGTGAACTTTTTGTCCTTTGGTTTTTGTGTTAGAATTTATGAGTTTTCGCCTTGTAGGAAATTATGGTGGTCCTTAATTATCCATCTACCCAACAGGAAAAGTGTGGTTATACTTAATAATAAGAATTTCCACTGTTAAAAGGCAGCTAGTCAAGAGAACTGTGTGAGTCTTATGACCATGTATGCTTGATATGCTCCTTACTAGGTAACCGGCGGATGAATAGACCGGTGTAGGTTGTGGTTGGTGTTCTTCCGAATCCAAAACTAGCCCAATCAGCCCAATCTAAAATCTTTGCTTCGGGGTTCAAATTTTATGATGTGGTGGCCCCTCTTAGTGTTATTAGTCCACGGATTTCATCTCAGTTGGGTTGGTTTCACACCAACATATATACACAAGCGCATTTGTATCCCATGTTAAATACGAGGTCCCCCAGCCTGACAAAAAATCTGTCCTCTTGATACATGAAACTCTTTCTTTCTGGATCGCGGTATCCTCCTAAGCACATCTGAATGTGCACACACATTTAAGTATGATTGATGGATGGCTCTTCATTCTACACCTGTGGGTTTGGTTGGGGTGTTGAATGTGGTTTTGTGTTCATTATGTTTCATCAATTCCCCGTACTTGATGTCAGCCATTTTGGTGATCAACTGAATGGCAAAGCTATGAATAAATGTCCCTTTTCTGGTTTGGTTTTCTGATCTTTATTAACAGTTTTGAGGAAGGGTGCTGATGAACAGTGACGCAGCCGGGGTAGTGGGTGGGGGGAAGGTGAACCTGTCATTTGTTATGAGGGTTAAAAGAACAGGAGTTGGAAGAAGGATATAAGAGGGTTAGCAAATGTGAGTGATGTCGCATATATGAAAACACGCAAAGATCACTTGGTGAGTCATTTGTGTGAACGAATTCATTGTATTTATCGTTACTCTCAACAAAATAGGGAGTTAGAGGAGGAGGATATTGGATAGTAATAACCCAAACCCGGAATTGGTGAATGCAAGTGAGGATGGCAATTATGGCATTAAGTGACATGAGAGTTAAAGCTTCTGCAAATTTACACATTATTATTGCAGAGAAAATAAATTTTCTTGATGGAATTATATTTTATAAAAAACTATAGATGTGTATAGAAGAAGAGAGAATGAGAAATGCCCAAAGGAAGAAAGGAAGGGTGAGTGTGTGTGTGAATTAAATTTATTTTTATATTTATCTCAAATATATGACGCAATAGTCTCATAATTCTCAACCGTCTCAATTACTCTTTTGCTGCATTTAATTTGTTTATTAATTCTTTCAATCTAAAATAGTCAGTAGTCCCCTTAGTTTTTCAATGCCCGAACCACCCGACCCAAACACATTTACCTAAATACCCCTTCTCCCTTCAAATACATGCACGTATATTTATACCCCCAACGTCTTTGACCTAATAATAACGTCACATGCATGCAGCTGGTTGTATAAGTAATTTGTTGTGTTGTGTTATCATCATTTCCACCCTTTTAATTACTCCCAGTTATTGAGAAAATAATTAATAATAATGTTGACGTTGAACAAACTTGGGATGATAACATTAATGGTTTGCCATGCTCGGCTAAGTTAATTGGTACGTGGTTTTATTCAATTCAATTTTCTTGAGGAGCCCCCGCTCCAGGTTGGTTAATTTATGTATCCCACCAACCTTAATTAACTCCTCCCTCCGCTTTGTGTGTTCAATACGGAAGAGTTTCCATTTGCTTAAGTACCTTTCATTCTTCTTTCTCGTGTTTGTCTCTTCATTTTTTATTTTTTATTTTTATAAAAAAAAATACTACAAAAAAATGTAGGATTAGTAAAACTTACTACTACTAGTTTACATAGTACTGAAAATGACCCTCTAATGGTTCTTTCCCGGTTATAACCTGAATCTTATAATTAGCCTTTTCTTTAGTCCCGAAATTTGTTATGGAATTCTAAATTGTTACGTAAAAGTATAGATCTTTGAGATAAATTCAGTGTTGAATTTTGGATGCCGAAGACTAGAGGTTTGAATTTTGTGGGGCCTGTAATTCTCTATTCCTCAAATACTCCTGTATTTTGTGGGTCTACGAATGAGGGCACAAAAATGAAAAAACCTCTGCTTTTCCTTATTGCTGCTGTCAAGTACAAAAGTATGGTCACAAAGAATCTTGAAAAGAAAATTTTGGGTTAAGATCTTCCCTAACACCCAAACTGATCGACGACTGATCAGCACAAGTTAACTGGTTGGCTGTTAATTTTGCATGCAGAGGTTAATAATTGGTCACTTGTGGAAAAAAAATAAAAGAGCTAAAATAGATTTTTGTTTTTTTTTTTCAAATTTCTACCCAGAGACAGAAGTTGGGCAGTTCTACTTTCTAGTGTTCTACTGCAGTTATGTAGCCAGTTTACATCGTCTTAGAAACCCCGCACCTAAAAAAAAAAAAAAAAATCTGCTTCTGCTATACCAGAATACCTGAATCATTTTTTGGCTACAAAAGGTAGAAAAGAACCCAAAAAAATAAATAAAAATAAAAATAAAGGGGAAAAAAAGTAGTAGTAGCCACTATTCAACCTCCACTCTCTCTCAGGCAAACATGTCTGAATGTACCTTTTCTTGTGTTTGTTTTTTATTTTTTCAATTTCCCTCTGGACTTGAAATGGAATGAAAAAGTGGAGGGGAAATAGTCCTACTTGAAAAAAACCCATTACAAAAGAAAAACAGCTTCTAATGATAAAAATTCCTAGTTGCCTGATTCGATTGCCGGTAAATTGGCTAAAAACTCTACTTCCTCTGTTTTCTGGTGGTGGTGGTGGTGGATGCGGCGGTGCTGTCGCCGCCGCCGTTTTTGTTGTTCTCGCCGAAAACTTCTAGAAGAACGGTGCTCTTGCACTTGGGACACCGGGGATCCTTCTCTGGGAGCATGATGTACATGAGGCAGCGAGGGCATCCGGCCACTATCATTGCCGTCGAGTCCGGGCTGTTTGAGAACACATAGTTGTCTTCCTGGTTCAGCTCCGATGACAGGCATGAGCTCGGCGGCGATGTCGGTGAAACCGTCGACGATCGGCTGGGTGATTGGACTCGGAGATTCCCCCTCGGCGGCGATAAATTCAGCTTCAAATCCAGTTTTGGAGCACTTCCATTCCTACGACTCATTGCTCTGTTTTCCTCCTCTGTTTTTCCCTGCTTTTTAAAAATTTCGCCTTTTCTGTATCAATCAGAAAACAGAGAAGATAACTCAATAAGACTTGAAATAATATGATTGATGATCATGGGATAGAAAATAGCCCGTTGACCCAAAAAAAAAACAAAACAAAATTATGAGTTCGTTCATGATCAACTTACGTTTCTTGCAGTTTTCAGATTGGAGCAAACGAAATGGAAGCAGAGGAAGGCAAAAGGGTAGTCTTGGAGAAGCAGGATTGGAAAAGGGTTGGTCAAGAAGGAAAGGGATTCTTGCAGGATACTACTTTTTTACAGTTGATTTACAGGACGAACAAGGCCATTATTACTACTAATTGTTTCACCACCAATTCGAAATGGATGCTGGAAGTGAAGTTGTAGGTGATGAACTTGTTAAGGGCATTATATATAAAGAGGAAGCAAGAGAAGAAAACAAGAGAGGTTGGGGATTGATTTAAAAGCTTAATTAAAGCTTTGAAAGAGGTGGAAATTAAGAGGAGAGAACAATAAAAAAAAATGTAGAAAAAAAAGGGTTGATCATGCGTGAGTAGTATAGTAAATAGTACTAACACTGATCAAATGGATTGGAAGAGAGAAATGAATGAATGGGGTTGAATTGAATTGAATTGAAGAAGACGATGGGGGGAGAGGAGAGGAGTGTAAATTGGGAGGGGCAGGAAATGTATTAATTGTTGGAAAAAATCCCAAGATGGGTTGCAGAAAAAGGAAAAATGGAGTAAATATTGCAATTAAACTAAGTGCAGGAAGGCCTTAAATTCATTCATTGCTTATACAGTCGGGGGGGTGTGTGTGTGAGTGTGTGTTTTATGTGTAGATAAAAGAAGAGATGATGGATGGATCATTCATTCATCAATTATATATTATGGCATCTGTATTCATTCAAATCTATTCATCAATTCTACAACGCCAAGGAAAGCTCAACAACTTTTTTAAATAAAAACCCACCACTTAATTTCTAACAAATCCAACTACACCGCTATTAATTTTCCCATACGTCTTTATTATTTTCCTTCGTCACCCCCTCCACTTTTTTTCCCATCTTATTTTATTTTTTGAAATTTTTTTCTTTGAATTAATTTTGAATTTTGGAAGATTTGATGATTTTTCTCAACTTAATCCTTGTAGTTGAAGAGAGGGTTGCGTAAGTATTATTGACCAGGCGAATGCATTTCTCTCTCGCCGCCGAAGTTATGATGTGAGCAGCTAAGCATTACTTCTTGGATCGGCCCAATATAATTTATTGAATTTTCAATATCTTATTTATTGCTATTTAATGTTTTGGTTGAATTTCGTAATGTTTAGTTACAGAAATGATTATTAATTCGTTTGGGTTGGATGAAGGTTAATTTAATTTCCGGAACAAATCGCAATAAAACTCTCCATCTCTCTACCGTATCTTACTTTGAGCTTCTTCTCCTTGTTTTGGTTTATTTCTCTTTAAATAACCGAAAGCAAATCTTAGGCAATCAGATCAAGTGACATTTAATTACATCTTGCACTGCTTCTAGATACTAACTTTATTATGGTTGTTATGCTCCTCTGTTTAGCAATTATAGTTGTCATTATGCAAACCAAATCAAATCATCTTTGTAGCAGTGTTTACTTTTATTGGATGTTACAAACTTAAAATAAATCATTTTTTGTATTCTTTATAGCAATTTATCACAAATCAACTCTTTTTTACAATAATTGATTTTTAAGAATGAAAATTATGTAACAAAATTACACTGTAAATTATAACATGTCAAATACTAACCCATAAATGATTATCTACCTAATAATTTATTATTATTGAACTACAAACCATAAATCAATAATTGATTAATGTATGATTCATTTGGTAACTTTCTACTGGATGTATTAATTATTTGTAGCAAACAATGACACTATATCATTCTCTTCATCTTGGATTTCATTAAACCAACCAATTATGCATTGCTTAAAAAGTACGGCCTCATGACTCACCAGCTAATATTAATCTCCATGCAATCTTGGATAATAATCATTCTAATTCTCAAGGACATAAATTTTGCTTGGATCATAAGGCTCCCCGAGAATTTTCCTAACTGGGATTGCTTGTTACAATCGACTTACTTTGCGTTGATGTTAACTGCGTTTCCCTTTATGATGGATTAATATTGAAGCTAAATATCCCTATTTAAAAAACTTGTGATTATTCTTAGAAGTCCTATTCTATTAAAAGGAGGTACCATTTTGTTAAAAATGTTCTTACTCCTTGTTGTGTTATTGTATGCCGTAGGCACTAATTACTCACACGTTTGTTGGTTTTGAGGATCTGATCCAACCCTCTAACATACATATAATCAAGAGTTGTTGGATTCATGTTTAAATTTGAGTTATGATTCACACAACTAATTCTGTGGGTTTCTTTTATTACGTAATTTAAATGTATAATGCTCCATTTGGTCCTATACACTTATCAGACATAATCTTAAAATGAAATTTTTAATAAGCTTTATAAATAAGACGGACTGATATATGAGATCGGCTTTTTGGTTTTTGTTTGGTTTTTTTTTTTTTTTTTAATCTTTTCTTAAAGAATGAATCGGTACTATGCATTTGAAATAAATTGAACAACATCCATAGACATCAATTATGCCCTTACTTTGGGAAACTGCATTAATTGTAATGGTCAATACATTGGGTGAAATTAGTGCTCGATATTTATTCCGTTGATGATGCAAGTTTCGACGGTAAATTCTTCGCCAGTGGTTGAAATTGATTAGATAAAGAAAGTTCAGCTACTAATACTTTTTATTTTCTTCTTTCAAAACCCAAATGTATCGGTCTTGTATATCTTTTTTTTTTTTTTCCGCACTCTTTAATACATATTTCGGTGGTTCCATATATTAATTTGCTTTTTATTTTGTAGTACATTTATTTAACGGTCCAAAAATTCTTTCACAAATCAATATTTCTTCCAAAATAAAATTTATGTAGGTGCATTTTGTGCACTTATAAGATTTCCGTCCATTGTAGGTGTATTCTTTCAAAAAATAAGATTTATGCAGGTTTATTTTAGTGCTAACAATACAAAAACAACTGTAACTTTATGTAGGTGTATTTTCGTCCACTTATAACTTCTGGATCGATCATATTAGTAAGGATATTACGTTGTTGAAAGTAAAAGACAGCAAGCATGATAAACAATACTATTTTTAATGATGTAAGGAGTAAATTTCACCACTATAATAATAATTATATTATTTTCTCCATTTCAAAATATAAATCACTTTAGATTTTACACGTAAACTAAGAAGACAATCATTCAACAATTAATTTATGTGTTAAATATCTTCTTTACTCTTTATTAATTAAATTCAAACTATAAATAAGACTAAATAAAAATAGGCATCATTTATTAAGGGTAAAATTGAAAAAATAGTTATTAATTTGCTTAGAATTTGTAATACTACTTATATTTTGAAAAATCTCTCCAAACTTAAAAATGGAGGGAGTATTAAAAAAAATCCGGTGGCAAGTTGGGAGACTTAGTTGGCTTAATTAAATTCGTCATTTTTGTAGTTGTATTACATACGCATTAAAGTGGATTAAGTCAAACATGTGAAGCTTTAATTACAGTTGCGGTAGATAATCAAATAAATCTCATATGGATTTGTATGTGTCCACTCACCAAAGTCAACTACATTAACACGTAAGAGAAATCTTCTAAAACTAAAAGGAGAAAAAGTAGTAATAAAAATTACAAAGAAGCAAAATTAAGAAGAACAACCATCAAAGTGTATATCTAACTCAACGAATAAATTCATTAATACCATCGACGATGAATATCCCATTATATGCCCCAAAAAAAAAAAAAAAAAAACACAGCCAGCACATATACTAGTGGAGTACATGCTAATATACATATATATTCACGAAAAAAAACCACAGCCTCTTTGTCCGAAACTTGGTCGTCTTGTTTTTTCCGGTTTGTTGTTGGGATAAATGATGGTCAAACCTCGACCAGTTTGAACTCACGCATGCAAGCAAGGCAACTAGCGCTTAAGATCAGATGCATGCTTATTCATTTTGGGCGCGTTACAAGAAAGCTACTACAGATTCAGACGGTTTTTAAACCTTTTGTATTCTTCCTTTTCATAATGTTGAACAATCATCTTGAACCGCTGAGTTCAGCTGTCTTATTTGAAATCGATAAAAAAAATTTTGAGAAATATTTCACGCACGTGTTCTTTTATTGATCAGGTACTTCGTAAAATTTAATATATTTGTATTTAAAAAGAAATGATGTTGCGAGAGATTGAAAATGTAGTCATACATTTACGTTAATCTAACCAAAATTCTTCTAAATAAAGTGGTCAAATGAATCACCCACGCACTTATTTATAACAAGGATTTCAGGCCCGGTCAACCATCATTTGGAATAACCATGCCTCCGTATGCATGCAGTAACGACTAATGAAGAAATATTAACATCAATTTAATTCGATAGCTAAACTGGCAGGCAAATTCGAATAATGCGCTGATAAACCAAAAGGATGAAAGAATACTACTAGTATTCCTTCTATCATAAAATTATTGTTCAATTTGAAATCTTTTACTTTTAATATAATTTTGAAATAAATTTAAAAATTTAAACTGAACAATAATTTCAGAACGAAAAAAAATTCTACATATTACCACCAAATTGAATTGGTGGTCTCGTAGATACATATGCTTAATCAACTCCATAATTTTAACCCAAAGAAAAAAAATTCCATAAAATAATCCGAACGGGTCGATCCAGTCAAATTGTTTGGAGGATTGGGCTGGAATTGAGGTGGCTGACTATCACATGCGAAGTAAATAAAGCCCTAATTATGACTACCTCCAAAGTTTCATTAATGGTATAGGAAGAGCCATACGGCGATTAATTAGTAAAGAAAAACTGGGCCAAAAAAAAAATAAAAAATAGTAAAGAAAAAGTAGAGCTAAATGGCGCGTAATTTTTTTTTTTTTTTCCATTCATATTGAAAATGAGATCGTGAAGTAAACATCCACCATAGGTTTCTTATACTCTATATTCGTCTTAAGAGAATAATTCAGTTGTTAAACAATTTTTTGAGTTTAATGAACTTTTTTTCTGTCATAATTAACGAGAAAAACCAAGGTTTAAAGTTCGAACCAAAGCCCGCGTGTAGACACTACAGGAATATTACAACGTGTATATATAGAGACACACACACCCACATAAACCTTCACCATTTTGGTCAAAATTTGAAGCCAAATTTACATACACATAAATAAGCTTGCAACTTTCATTTCATCAACACGTATTTTAATGAATTCAATGATGTACGACTTAAGAAACATCCAAGGAACAATGACAACTGCCATATTTACGCCCATGCGTATATGATGGCTTTATTGCATACTACAAATTAAGACATAGGAGTATATACATTATACATATAATTATCATCGTGTATGTTTGTGTGGCGTTAGCCTCCATTTGTACATACATTTCTCGGTTGTCTTACTTCAGGGTCACGAGTTCACAATACCAAAAAAAAAAAAAACACAGAAATTATTTAGAAAGTCAAATACAGAACTTTTAATTAAGCCAAAAACAATTGTAACATGAATTTGTAACATGCAATTTAATAGATTGCGGAAAATGCTGGGGATGACTGAGGACAAAACATTTAATAGGGTTTTGAATCTGAGACGAAGTTTTGTATAAAGTAAAGTGTATCTAACTAATCTATTTATGATCCGCCAGTGGTGTATGCCATATATTTTGGGAATTCAAATCAATAAGGTCCCCACGAGGGTATCGGTCAATGCTGTGATAAAACTAGCAAAACACAATCTCGAATTTAATCCCACATTTCCTATAAGAGTGTATACTCAAATCATGATGCTCACTCTTATTAAGTCGGATTTCGTCCCATCAGATATTACGTAGCATAATTTTACATAGATTATATTTTGAGTTATTAGGTTAAACCATTGGAAGGATACCCTAA